AAGTGCAGATGGCCACCAAGTACCAAAGTGGATTCTTACTCCAGGGGTCTGGGTTACTCTTATGGGAAACACTTGCAAGGTGCTGAGCGCTGAGCTCTTGGCCAAGCAGTGGGTATGACAAGCTGATGGTCTGTTCTAGCCTCCTGGTGACAAGTTCCCATTCCTAACCCACTTCTGACTCTAGATAACTCACTGAGGTCTCTGGCAAAGAGCTGGGGGTGGCAGAGGAGGGAATGCTGGACTCTGGCTCTGGGCCTTTGCCAACATTGTGAATGGGATCATTTAGACCAGCCAAGGGCAACCTGCCTCCCATCCTGTTGACTGATGAATGAACCCCCACTCATTCAATCTTGCTCAGGCTCTCAGGAGCTTGGACCTCCTGCCTGGCCATATCCCACCATCTTTCTTACGAACTCTCTTCTATGCCATGGTGTACCATGAGTAGTTTGCCCGATCCCACCGTCCAGCTTTTACCACATGGTCCCAGCAAAGCTTGAATGCCCTCCTTGTCCTTTGCACTCACCAAATCCAGTCCACTCCTGTCCTCTACTGCAGGAAATGTTTTAGCCAGATGTGGTGGTGCACACTTTTAGTTCCAGCACTCAGGAGGCAGAGGCGAGCAGCTCTCTGAGTTTGAGGCCAGCCAGAGCTACATAGAGAGACATTGTCTTGGGGAAAAAAGGAAAAAAGAAAGAAAGAAAGAAAAGAAAAGAAAAGAAATGTCTCCTGACCCTGTGAGCTCATGCAGTCAGGCCAGTTTATCTCCATCACACGAGTGCCTGTGCCGGTTTGTTTTACGATGGAACTATCTGGGCTCTTTGTTTTTCCCACTGGACTGTGACTGTGCTGAGACTCTGGGCACAATAAGTGGTCAACCCTATGGTGACCATGTAATCAATTGTCTCTAGTTGGGTCAGAGTGTATCTCTTTGCTTAGAACGTGACTTTCCGTACCAGAAAAACCTCAGTTCATCTTGGCTGGGTCAACGTCACTGTGCCGACGCTCAGCTGCATAAAGTTGCCTCACTGTAAAGTGAGGTTGGCTTATTGTGGACCTACGTGAAGTAATGCTCGTGCTGTGCCTGGTTGGCATGCCATCGGAGCTCAGGAAACAGCAGCTACCATTATTAGTGTGTGATTCTGTGGGGGGCTGGTACCTCTGTTACAGTGAGTCCCTCAACAGCAAATGAATGGAGATACTAGTTTTAGGGGTGGCATCCAGAGAGAATGCTGGGTGAGTTTTGGAAGTCCAACAAGGAGAGACATCAGAGGCCAGTCCCCATCCCATTTCTCCTGGTCTCTCACAGCCTGCAGGCAAACTCACCACCAACTCTTTCTCCAGGAGCTGCAGAGCCTTGCTTGCCCAGAGCGGGTGTGGAATGCATGTGCGGGACCAGGAAAACCAGAGCTTGTCTCCTGACCTTGAACGTAGCCTGCAGCCCCTGAGGAAGGTAGTTCCAATTACAGCCACAGAGTCGGAGGAGCCCTTCCCAGGCACATTGATTTATTGGACCAGAAATACAGCACAGCAGTCACTCGGACCTCTGCCTTTGGCAAGCTGCCCAGCCTGCTTCCTTCTTTGCTGTCCTGTTGTATTGATCTGCGTGAGACGCTGTGGTTTATTGTAGAGGGGTGTGTGTGTGTGTGTGTGTGTGTGTGTGTGTGTGTGTGTGTGTGTGTGTGTGTATGTGTGTGTGTGTGTGTGTGTGTGTGTGTGTGTGTGTGTGTGTTATGGAGGTCCCAGGATAGAGGCTGTTCGGTTGGGGCCTCTCCCATGGAGACAAGCCCTATGCCTTCAACAGAGGGGATGCGTATCTTTTCCGTTTCAAATGATGGCTTACATTTCATTCTTTTCCAGGTGGGCCCAGAATGTTCCCATATGCTTCTCACTTTGTCTAATCCATTTATGAGCATAGTAACTTATCATTTTGTAAAGAATGAAGAAAACTTTCCTTGTTGTGTGCCTGTGTGAGGCAAAACGTCTTCATCTCCATTATTTACAGAAGGAACCGAGAGTTGGCTGAACAAAAGACTGGCCAGAGGTCCGGTGATGGTGGATTCCCAGGTGCTCGGCCTTGATGCCCTCGGGGGTGGCCTACTCCAGGCTTCATCCTCCTGGAGGACAGATGACCAGCCACCAAGAGGGTCCTATCACAGAGTAATTGTGGAATCTATAAACACAATTTCAATTCCCACCATGAGACCTACTTTGTTCCCATCATGTTCATGGTTGTGGGTCTTCTCTCTTGCCGTAGTTACTTATCTCTTATTTAGTAGTGTTAGACAACACACATTTGTTCTCACACAGTTTCAGATGTTTAAGGATCCAGGCTTGGATTAGCCAAGTTCTCTGTGTGAGCCTCACAAGCCTGTACCCAAGGCACTGGCCGGGCTGCACTCCCATTGGGAGGATGCTAGGGATGTCCACTTTCCTGCTCACATAGCTGTTAGCAGCACCAGGTGCTCTGAGGTGCAGGACCGAGCCCTTCTGTCCCCTGGAGGCTGGCTGGAGCTACTTGCCACCTGGCATTTTGCAGTGTAGCCCTCTTCTTCCTCACAGAGAGCCAGAGATCCAGAGAGTTCTGAAAGATGTGTGTTGTCACCTTATGTAACCTAATTGCCTATGTCCAGGTACCCTTGTCATAGCCTGTTGCTTAGAAGCAATTCACAGGTTGCTTTGTATTCAAGGGAGGGGATAACACAAGACAGGCTCTAAGCAGGGGTCATGGGTAGGGAACCCCAAGGGCCTGCCTATCACGGTTTTCTGTTCCCTTCTTCTTTTTCATCCTTCCTTCTGCGTCTAGACTCAGACCTACGGTTTTGCTGGGAAATGAGAGCTTTGAAGCCAGGAAGCTAATAAGTGATGGCACTTACTGCTCAGGTGCCAAGCTGGTTTTCAACTTTTTTATGTGAGTATAATATGTACACAGAAGCTGCCACATCCTAAATGTGTAAGCACAACCAGTATTTAGGAAGGAGAACACATCTTCGTTACTGTAACACAGATCAAATTACAGAGATCACCTGCACCCCGAGGGTTTCCATCTGCCCCCAAGGCCCTAAAACCAATGAAGATGAAATCTAATAAGATAGCTTTCTTTGACCTGATTTTACTCGTTCCACAAATGGGATTCTGCAGCATGAATTACTTTATCTCTGGTTCCTGAAACTCACCACAATACTGCTGTGTGTGACTCTAGAGTGCTCATTCTACATTGTTCATGGCATTTCAGCACGTGAGTGTACGCTGTTTACCATTCATAGTTGGTGGGTGTCCGTCTGGATAGTTCAGTTTCCAGGTTAGAGGTGCTGTAAACAGTGATGCTGGCTGAGTACCCTAATCTGAAAATCTAATATCCCAAATGCTTGGAATCCCAACAATTTGAAGGGCCCACGCTCACCAAGTTTCAGGTTTTCAATATCCCACCTGGGGGTGCTCACCCAGGACAGTCTATGCCAATGTTCTTAAATCTAGAAAATTGAAATCTGAAAACACTTCAGTCCTGTGTACGTCTCACAAGGGGTACCCGCCTGTGTGTCTGGGATGAGCCCATGAACACATTTCTGTTGGTTCTCTACCTAGAAATGAACACGCTGGGTCAGAGGGCTCTGTGGACATATTCTGGAAAGCTATGAGAGCTATAACCCTCGAAGCTCCTTGGTGAGGAAGGTATCATTTCCCTTTTTATATACATTAACATTTGAGTCACCTACATTCCTCTGCAGGCCCTGAACAATCAAAGACAACCTTCTTTTAGTACTTAATCTTAAGCGTCGTTTTGGAAGATCGCTGCATCCTGAGCAAATGCCCTTTGCTCAATATCATCTAATTTGTCTTCCAGTTCTCTTGTTATTGGGAGGCCTCTCTAGCCAGCTGCAGAACTGCTGGCCTGACCACTTGTGTTACAGAGCTGACAAAATTGAAGTAAAATCAGGGAAGATCCACAATGTTCATTTTCTATCATGGTGTTTTTAAACTTTCCAGATCAAATGTGATCATGTGGTTTGGACCACAGTTCGTTAACTTCTGGTGAGGTTACAATGACTTTTTTTTCAGGCTTGCTAACCCATGTCCTGCCCCCACACTCTCTCTTCTCTCTCTTTAAATTTCCCATCCCTCCCCAGCCTTGTTCAAATGCTTTTTTTGTGCTCGCTGTCGCTGTCCCATCTTCCACCACTGGAGTTCCATCAGTGTCCCAGAACTCAGGCTGTCACAGCTGCCACCCCCCCTCCCCGCCCCCACCCCCATCTGGCCCTCCTCCCACCAGGATAGCCAGATCTCTTCCGGAGCAATAAACCTCACGTGTCGCTGAACCTCTGCTCACTGTCACTGCCGCTGTGTGACATAATGACTTCACCAGGCGAGCTTCCTGTCCACTTGAGGTTCTTAAAGATCTGCGCCTGGGAGGAAGTTTCCCTCCTGCTTGGGGACTAGGCAGCTGTAAATCAGGTAAGGGGAGGGCCCTGACTTGTTTATCCCAGTAAGAGTTTTATGTGCTGAAGTCAGCAAGGGACCTGTTCACCTGATTCATGGCCAATCTGAGGAGCCATCACTTTGAGTGGAGCCAACCCACCCTTCTCAGTGGATTGGCATGAGCTGGGGCCTTGGAGGAGCTGAGGCACTCCATAGTATTGAAGCCTCATCTTCTCTTTCCATCCATCTGGACCAAAAATTGTATATTTCAGAGATGTGAGACATCCGGTGGGGAATCTCCAAACAGTGGGAAGTTCTTCCTCACAAAGTTAAAACAGCTCCCCCCACCCCCAGTTCCTTCTCTGTTTGCAGGAATGGCCAGCAGCTGTGTCTGTGAGCCTGGCTTTGGTAGGGAGGCTCCACACAGGAGAAAGAATGCCAAAGAGCAGCTGCCTGGCCTTGGGCTGGTGTCAATTAGCAATCAAGGTCAAGGCTGGACTGAATGTCCCATAATTATGGTCCATCCTCACATGGGAATATTCGACAGCTATTAAAAATGTTTTCAAAAGAACTCTTACCAGACTGAATAGTTTTTGATATAAAGTAAATTCAAAGGTAGACAGATGTAAATCACACAGAGAATATTATAATATATCCTGATTGTGTGAAAGACTAAATGTTGTAAAATGGTAGCCATGATTGTCTGTGCAGGAGTGGTTGGGTGTGAGGTGTGAGATCCCAGTAACCTTTTCTCTGACCTTCAGAGTGGGCAGCTTGGGATGGTGGCCTTTAACCCAACGTGGAGAGGCTGCCGGCACAGTTGTGTTACTAGTGGAACTTTCGTGTGTGTGTGTGTGTGTGTGTGTGTGTGTGTTTTCCTCTGACTGATAGTGACAGCCCAACTCACTGCAGAATGACACCTGTCCGTGTTGAAATATTTCGTGACAGACATGGCAGATTTAGCGTCTGGCAAGCAGAAGGTGGAGCGCTCTGGTATCAGGCAGGTGGTTCCCACACAGCTTCCGACGACGACCCCACTTTGCAGTCATCCTCAACTGCTGCTTCCTGACTAGAGGTTCAGATGGCTTGAGAGGCAAAGCTTTGCTCAGGTCCGTCATGTGGGTGACGCTGTGGGTCACTGGGGCTGTGAGTCTGTTCTCATAGTGACAGGAATATGACAGTAGCTGACTGGGCCTTGGCAGGCCAGCCCTCCAATCAGCTGTCAAGAAGGGGACAGTAGGGCCAAGCTCTTCCATTCATTAAGTGGACGGTGTCCAGCTCATATGCAAAGTTCCTCCCGCCTGTAGACACACAGGAGAAACAATACACACAGTCTGTACAAAACATTGTTTTTAATAAGACACTCCCAGATGGTCCATAGAGGCCTGGGGCACAGATGAAACTGTGCTAAATGTAACTCGGGCCCCGATTCAGAAACAATGGCACCTTGGTAATGCAGATGTCTCCAGTGGTGTCCTTCCGAGCAGGGCATCTTGCAGGTGGCTCAAAAATGCAGGGAAAGCTTGTCTCCCAGGGTCAGAGCTGGTCCAGCATCACATGCTCTTGAGGTCCCTGAAGACTGCGTGGGCTGCATTCCGTCCAGCCGCTCCCATGACACCTCCTCCTGGAACCAAAGCTCCTTTCAGAAGCCCACCAAAAAGGGACAGGGCGGGGCTCAGAGAGCAGCCAGAATTGGAACAACTACCACACTGTCTGGGCTCCCTACAGCTTCCACGCAGGGCTGGGGGAGGCCAGGCTGTGGTCACATTGGCCTCCTGTTCCTCAGTCTGCCAGACTACAGGGAGGCACTTAGCAGTCTAGCAGGTAAAGCTGAAATGCAAGAATCAGGAGGGGCACAGAGGACACAGCTGTTGTTGAGAGGGTGTCACCAGGAAATGACAGATGCAGCCAAGTCAGGTAGGCTTGGAGTAGGTACAGCAAAGAATTTCTAACTAGAAAAACATTACTGATCCTTTCTGGTCTCAAATATGGGCGAGGAATTAAGGAATGTGAGTCTCCCACAACACCTGGAGGAGTTTTCTCCACCCTCCATCAGAACTTGTCCCTACACCTCGGTGGGAGGAGGTGTGTACCCACAGCTGAGGGTTTTGGCAGCCTGGCAGAGATCCTGCTGTATGCTTACCCTGCACAGAGGATGGCTTCCCACATCCTCCTCTGTCTGCAAGCTTACAACCTCTTTCATCCCACAAGCCCTTGCAGTCCACATAGGAATTAGGTCACTCACCAGGGTGGGTTCCACTTCCGCAGAGGTACAGGCCCTGGATAGGGCATCTGTAGCCAGAGTGTTGGGGCACTGGACGGGCGAAGTAGAGCTGGTCCAGGGACATGGCACCATGGAATATGTTCTGTGGAGGCAGGGCTACGGTTGTTAGCACAGGTGTGCTATGGGGTTTTGCCATCCTGGCTGGCACTTCCTCTCTCTATTCTCTAACCCAGGTCCTTTTGCTTCTGGATATTTCCCTGGGTTCTTAACTAAGGGTGAGAGAGGAGAGGGACATGTCCCAGGCTTCAGGTGAGAGAGAAGGACATGTCCTGGGCTGCAGGTGAAACTCCCATGGTGCTTTATTTGGAAAGAGAGGAGTAGGGGCCTCTATAGAATGCAGGGAAATTGAGTGGGAAAGAAAAGGGGGATTCTGAGGGTTTGCTGTAGACCATGAGCCCCCGAGTCTGTTGGGAAGGCCGACTTGCTCTGTTGGCACAGGCTCTTGCTGGGGCATGGGTCTTTGGGCAGCCACCATTTCTCTTGGGCCTTGAGTGTCCCCACTCCCACACCTGTCCCACGGACATCACTGTCAGCAGCAGATATGGCACAGTGGGACCTGGTTCTGCTCACTAGCTTGGGCCAGACTGGCCCAGAAAGACAGTGGGTGTCCTAAACAAGAAGACCAGAATCTGCTAGATGTCACCATGGGTTGTTCTTGCTGCCCCCTCATCTGGTCCCCACGTGAACCACTTCTTCCCCCAAGCCAGCGCCTCTCAAGCCATCCTGCCTTCATGACCACACTGCCATCCTATCCTTAGCCTCTGGTTCAACCTTCATGTCATGCCCACCTTCCAGATCAGACCGTCATCAACACTTCTTTCTCACCCATCCCTGCCTTGTACTGACTATCCACACATGTAGTGGGTAGCTGTTCTAGCTACGACCTTGAAGCATCACCCCTAGTGAGGTGGCAGGTAATTGTTACACCTGCCTATGACCTTGAAGTACATGCCCCTGGGGCGTGGCTGCTCGGGATCCTGAAGACCTGGGATGCACGTACAAGGCCCTTGCTTCACTCCCTCATGATGGTTCTGGATGCTGGGACAGACCAGGCAGATCTTAGAAGAAGATCAGCATGGGACATAGTTTGGCTTTCCCGGATCCTACAATAAATACCTGTGCTATAGTGAGTTATCCCCTAATAAATTCCCTTGCTCATTAAATAGACTCCTCGGATTTCTCACGTCACACACAGTCTGTGAAGTCCCTCTCCCTCCCTGACTTTCTGCCTTCTGTCTGGATCAGAGCTGCCAAAACAAAAACATGACCAAAGCCATGAACGCAATTTCAGACTTACATTTAAAAAGAAAGAGGAAAATTGGTGACATTTATGTCAATAGTGTATTTTATTCCTCTAATAGATGCCAAATCTGATCATCTTGGTACATAGTCAATGTAATAGCACTAACACGATGGCATCACTTGTGTCCATGCTGGGTCTCCCCTATCACACACCACCCAGCTCACTCTGGCCTTTTCCGGCTCAGTAGCTGCTATGGCTGGTGGCTAAGGCGTTGGTGATGCCTCCTCATGGAACTGGACTCCTCACAGGCTCCCTGCCTCCTCACGGGCTCCCTGCCTCCTCATGGGCTCCCTGCCTCCTCACAGGCTCTCGGACTCTTAGCCAGGTTTTAGCTTCTGACCTCCCATCTCCTTTATCTGGTAAAGTAAACTCACTACAAGAGCCTGTTTCCTTAGGGAGGGAGCTCTCTTTAGAAGAGGCTGATGGGATGTTGGGGCAGAAGTGCTTCAGGCCTGGTGATCTTCTCGAGTGGCATCTGTGTGTCTGTCTCCTCTCCTGTCCCCACTCAGCCATGGGCTCTATCACTTCCTAATGAAGGCTGGGTAAAGCCCAAGGCGGCCAGCCAGGGAGGCAGGTAGGAAGATGAGTGTCAGGAGGCCCCAGACCTCCACTCACCCCTCCAGGAAGCCCAAAGATTTTCTCTAGATCCGGTGGGGTGAGGATGTCTCTGGCCAGCACAGAACTCTTGAAGCCGGGGGCGTAGGCCTCGATGCAGTCAAACACTGTGGAACCCAGGGAAAGCATTGGGAAGAAGGGTGGACAATAAGGATGTATGACTCCTAAGTTTACTAAAATCTATTGAATTATGTGAGTCAGGGGTTTATTTTATCCTATGCAAATTACATACCAGTAAGTACAAAACAAACAAGATGAAAAATGGTCCCTAAGCAAGTGCTTTATCAAAGAGGCATGTAGCCAGTCCAGCCTCATGCTCTCATTTCTTACCCCGACTTAAGCACGAGACTACTGCCACTTCCTGAATATGTGACATATTTTTCTTCTTGTTGCTTTGCCCAAACTGTTTCTTTTGCTGGGGACATTCTTCGCACTTGGACCAACCCCATCCATTGTGGAAAGGCCAGTTCAGTGTTTCTTCCCCGGAGCCCTCTCCTCGTCTCCGGCTCATCAAGTGCAGTGTACTCTGGTGATCTACCCCCTCGCTAGTCTCCCCAACTGAACTCTGAGCAACTGGAGGGTAAGAGTGGAGTCCTCTGCTTTATAAAAATGTTATGAATTATTGAGTGTGTGTGTGTGTGTGTGTGTGTGTGCGTGCGCACGCGTGCGCGTGTGCACATGTGGTCCAGTGTGTGTGGCAGTCAGACGACAACTAACCTTTGGGAGTTGGTTTTCTCCGTCCACTGAATGTTAGACTACCAAACTCAGGTTTATCAGACTTGTACGACATATGCCTTTACCTGCTGAGCCATCTCTCTAGCCTGGGACCCTATCCTTTTGGCTTTCTTAACTTAGTGCCTGGTCACAGCCAACATTCACCAGATTGGTGGAAGGCTGCCTCGGACACATCTCTTCCCTTGGGACAGCACCTGCGGAGTTTAGCCTGGATGAAGCTGTGTGTGGGCGTGCCCAGTGGATCCCACGGCCAGCTTTCACCCTGCAGAGCATCCTGTGATGCATGCTTTACCTTTGTCTGCATAGGTGTTTTTCTCCTGCTCATCCCAGATCTTGCCTCCAGACAGGGTGTAGGGTGTGTATTGAGTGAAGAGGGAGACAACATGGCAGCCAGGCGGAGCCAGGGTGGGGTCCAGCGATGAAGGGATGCAGAGCTCAATCATAGGTCTGTGACATGGGCGGGTGGCAGGTAGAGAGGGTCAGGACTGAGAAGAGCTCAGGGCCACTCCGAGGTGACATGAGTCAAAATTAAGGCCCTCAGAGACCACCAACCTGGGCTGATTATCACTGTGAGACCATGGTGGTTAGCACAGACCAGACCACCTCTGTGGTGTTCCTCTAGACCCACAGCCCCAGATTCCAGGGCTCTGGTCCTTTCTCACCGGGCTCAGAGACGCGGTCCAGTCTTGTCTTCCTTCCCCATAGACCTGTGTTCTAATCTGGGCTCCCCAACTCAAACACTACCAGGGTCCAGAGAGTGAGCTCAAGTCAGCAGGTGCTCAGGTGTCCGGGGTCCAACCAAGCTTGTCCCTCCCCTGCTGGCCCAGGAACCTTATCTAGAATAGGCCAAGGCAGAGCATCTAGACCTGTTGAACCACCACAGAATGGTGCCCCACGTCCAGCCTACTCCCTTTCCTACCTGAAGCACAAGTCCCTCAGCTCTCTAGCTACCTTTGGCCCTCCATGCCTGGGTGATTTGTGCGTTCTCCAACTACAGACTGAAAATACTATAAAAAAGGAAAACTATGCCTCACTGAACATGCTGACTGTCCCCCTGGCATCACCCCATAAACAACATTGCATGGCAGCCCTCTACCCAGCACCCACACAGGTATTTTAAGTCCTCTAGAGGTGACTGCTGAGCTACAGGCGGATGTGAGAAGGTTAAATGCAGAAGGGACCTGAATGTCAGTTTTTGGTAACCACGGGCTCCGGGATGCTGGAACCGTTCCCCGGAACCGTTCCCCGGAACCATTCGCAGACCGCATGAGCATCTTTCAAGGCCATGTGAAATGCCCTTTCTCAGGCTGCCAGCCCTCAGCTGCACCTCTCACCTTAGATATCTGCCAGCCTATCCAGCCACTGTCCAAACCCACTGCCTAAATCCTCTCAACCCTCCCAGAAGCCCCTTCCTTTCTCATACTTGTCCAGGTGTTCCTCTCTTACACACCACTTCCTGTCCAACGGCAAACCTCCCCCACCTTACCCTTAAAACACACCCAGGGTTTGGACACTGGCCATTCTTTCTGCTGTGTCCACCCAGGTCCCAGTCACTGTCCTGTTCTCCTCGCACTCTGCATTCAATAACCAATTGCAACAGGACGCCTCTCTTTTTGTCCACTTTTGTGTGTGTGTGTGTGTGGGGTCTTTCTAAAGGAACGGTCAGGCTTTCCTCGAGTGAGAGCCAGGGCAGTGGACAATGCCTGGCTACTGCTGCCGCTCTGCACGCTCCATTTTGGCCTTGTCTTTATGTTCCTAATCCAGCAGCACATCCCTGCCCAAGGGCACCTGCTCTTTGCGCTGGGTGTTCTTCCTCAGCTACTCCACAACCTGTCTTGCCTCCTTCAATTCACTGCTCAAGTGTCCTTCTTTGGAAAAGCAGACCTCCCCCGGCCTGCCTTCTTTTTCTCCTCAGTGCTTGTTATCAGTGCATGGTGTTGGCTGTTTTCTAGCCAGCAGAGGCCAGCACAGAGGCAGAAGATCTTTTCTTCCTGCTCTGTGTCTGAGCTGACAAAGAGTTGGCACCACATGAGCAACCTAGCGTCTCTCTTTCATCTTATGCTGTGAGTTCTTTTATTCATTCATTCATTCATTCATTCATTTATTACAGTAGTCTGTAATAAATTTGTATACAGTACTCTGCCTGCGTGTGTCCCTGCAGGCCAGAAGAGGCACCAGATCTCATTACAGGTGGTTGTGAGCCACCATGTGGTCGCTGGGAATTGAACTCAGGACCTCTGGAAGAGCAAGCAGTCAATACCCTTAACCACTGAGCCATCTCTCCAGCCCCCACGCTGTGAGTTCTTATGCACCAGGCTTATCATAAACTTGTGTCGGCTTCACATCCCAGACCCCACAACCTGTGCCCGGTGGGAGCCTGGCCCTGAGTAGGATCCCGGCACATGTCTGTTTAACAACATAGAGGATGAAGGGTGTACGTCCCACAGAGCCCCGCCTGCCGTCTGCTCTAAAGGATGGAGACACAGCCAGGACGGGAGGTGCTCTTAGGAGCGTGGGTGAAGGGGCTCCTCAGACATGACTAGGGGACAAGTGAGCATGTCTCCTATTGCGTCACGGTACCTGAGAAGCCCCTTCTCTTTCTCAGAAAGTAGTTTCTCCTCTTCTCAGAGTGCTGCTCTCCTTGGGACTGTCCTCCACTAACCCGGGACTCTCCCAGCATGCCCCCCTCTTCACCTCCTCTGCTCTGATGTCCAGATTTCTTGTCTGAGATACATTTTGTGTTCTTGGAACATGGAGATGTTGGGAATCTCCAGCTTGGGGGGTGGGGTGGGGAGGGGGGGCATTCCAAACCCCGCCCCGATGTTGGGCTGGGAACTCGGCCCACTCCTCCCATTCCAGACCCTGCCCAAAGAAAGCCCACCAAGTGGTGGCTCCTCCCCTGGAGCCGCTCAGAGACTGAGCCTACAGGGTACTTAAGCTCCGGTCCCTAAAGCTTACACGTGGTTTCTCCTGAGATCACCTGGGGATGCTTGGCTCATTAAATCTAGACTTTTAATTCAGTTTGATTTGGCTTTCTGCATCAGCAGAGTTACCACTACCGGGGGATTTTTCAAAAATACTTATCAGAAGAGACTTAGGCAGACTGGCCCTGGGACACTGAATGAAGGCTTAGTGCCAGGTAGAAGAGGCCAGGCCCCTGCCTTGGAACACACAGGGGACACAAAGGCCAGGTCTCACCTACTTTTTGGAAGGCAGGCCACCCTTGGCATCTTCAAAGGCCTGGTGGAGGATCAGGGTGTCTTCACAGTTCAGGTGAATGGAACACTGATGATGTGGCTGCAGCTGATCCCTGGGAACATTGGGGGCCGCCCGGAAGTTTGGCAGCCTGTCCACAGCCACTGAGAAGACAAGAGGTCAGGTCGGGTCCCCAGTCTTGCAGCCCCCCCCCCCCCACCGCCCATAGTCACAACGTGCTTGTCTAGCTAATGGACCAGAAGTCTGAAAGTAGGACAAACTGGGGGGACAGGAGAAGGAGAACACAGTGTGGCTGGGTTTCCCTGATTTAGAGTTTTCCACACAGATGGTGTCAAAAGGCAGATGAACCAGGCGTCTCTTACCATTGATCTTGGTGACAGGAGATTGTGTGTCCAACTGAGAGATCCTCTTCACAAAGGCCCCAGGGAGCCACTCCTGGAAGGAGAGAGCTCTGTGAAAGGCCTGGGGTAGCCAAGGCCCAGAAAAGCTGCCCACACCAGTCTTTCAACCTCTATCTGAGGAGATCCTCTTCTTCCTTCAGAACTCAGCCCCAAACTACCCCTTCTGTGAGAACTTCCTGGAGTCCCCTCACTTTAGGCTAAGCACATCTTCCTCTGCCCGTGGCCCACTGTCCTGGCTGGGAGTAGCTCTCATCACGTCCTGCTTGGGACAGGGATGACAATTCTATGCACCCTATTTCTTTGAGCCGTAGCTCTTGCTACTTCAGAATTGCCTTAACAATATGCACTGAGAGCTGTTGAATTTTGTGAGTGGAAATATTCAGAGACAGTAGTGCTTTGCCCCCAAGAGCAGGCTGCCTGCTCAGACACATTATCTTATCTTTCAGGGACAGGGAAGGTATGGCCAATTGCAATGTTCCGAAGTCCTGAGCCTTTCCCGGACTCACGCCCCTTTCCATGTCTCTCCACGGTATCCCCCACCTCTGCCCCACTCACACACGACCCTAGACTGGCTGGGAGACTTAGCCAATGTCAACAAATAAGATAGCTCCAGATCAAACAATCTGGAGCTTGCATGGCCGAGCTTGCCTGCTGTTACCCTCTGCCAGGCCGGAGAACATGCTGGAGCTCCTGTGCCAGAGGCCACAGGGTCTGTCCTGAACCCACCACAGCCAGCCAGGTCCCAGTCACAGAACTGAGTCCAGTCAAGACCAGCAGAGGCACAGCCACAGCAGGTGACAGACAAGCCTCAGCAGCGACTCGGTCAAGATCAACCAATTTCTCCCTGTCTACGGGCTAAGGTCATAGCTGCCCAGAAGTTTTATGGCTGTGCTAAAAACACAACACAACACAACACAACACAACAAAAAACCTCCCAAACCTCCATTCCCAGAGTTAATGCTGCAATAGATCACTGGCAGAAGGTAGAATCAGAGACAGTGAGGGGGGAAATCCAAATCCAGGTAGTAGACAAGTCAGAATTCTAGGGCAGACCTGGGCTCTGGCACTAGCTTGGCCTATTGCAGGTGGTGTGGTTGACGTCCTCTCACTCATGAGGCTTTTCTACTGTTTGCAAGCTGCCTTCCTCAGAGAAGGAGGCTTAGTCCTTGGATCTCCCACCCTGACGTCATCTGGGCTCCCCACCCCACGTTCCAAGCCCTGTGTGGCAGATATTTTACCTCTACTCCGACCCACCTCACCTGTGGCGTCAGCTCCAAGAAGGTGACCTGCGGTGATGCACAGGATAAGACGACTCTGCTCCTCACCTCCTGGCCATCCTGCAGTATGACTCCTTGAACATGGCCTTCACTGTTCACCTGCACCTTAGCCACAGTCTGGGGTCCCATCAAGAGACCCGAAAGCCCCCAGAAGAAAGCCCAGGTTAAGAATAGTGGGTGTGTCTCGTAGGCACCTAAACTTCCTCACCCCAATCCATGCCCTTAACCAGAGACTTCTCAGGAAGCCTTGATGCAACCTATCCACCATGGAGCATAATCCATGCATGGTTTCATGACTGGTGGACTGGAAGGGTTTGCTCAGCTGCCTCCAGGCCCCAGAAATGTAGAGCCCAGATTCTGGGCTTCCCTTGTTCATCAGTAATTCCAGGATCTCTAAATCTATTCTATCCTGCCAACAGTTAGGGTTGGGGAATGGGGTCCACACCTTTTCTGTGAAGATACTTGCTCCATGCGTAGTAGCTGAGCTCGCAATGGCATCAGAGAGGGCACCCATGCCACCTTGGACGTAGCCCCAGGCGCCCTGCATTCCCTCCAGGCTGCCCATTACATGATGCAGCAGCACATACCTGAGGGCAGAGCACAGAGCACCAGGGGTTGAGGCGGGATCCCATCTCAGTTTCAGATGCAAATGACCCTTTCTGTCCTGGACCTTCACCTCCTTCCCAAGCCAGCCCTTTCCCTGAGCCTTTGCTGGAGCTCAGTGCCCTGCCATCTCACGCCACACCCACTCCCTGTGCATATGTATGATGCAGGACTCCAGCCTCCCTGTGCCACAATCACTCCAGGCCCCTGCCTGTGTCTACTTCCCGTAGGCATCTCTTCGTGGGTGCATGTCTGGCATGCATGTTAAACCCAGCACCTTATCATTCTCTGAGCTGTTCCTTTCCAGTGTCCCCACCCACATGAAGGGCACTTTCAGAGTTCCAACAGAGACCCTGGTGTCACCCTTGACTGTGTATCAACTCCTCAGAGTGCTCAGATGCCTCTCCCTTCTCTCCCTTAGACACAGCCAGACCAGGGTCACTCCTCAGCACTTGCTTCCCTGGAGGCCACCCTCTGTGGAGCCTGGATCCCTGGTCTCAGGGCCAGATGCTCCCGTCAGCCTCCCTTTCAAAGCCTTTGCTGTACAGTACTGCCCGAGGGCAAGGCCAGCCTCATCAGGTGGTGTCCACGGCTCCTGCCTGGTGTCGGCCTGGTCTTACCATGCTCCCTCACACTGCACACCCCTACTAAGCCGAGTCCTTTGGTTGCTGGAATGGAGCACTTGTCCATGCCACTTGGGCTTCTCTACCTGCTGTGCCCCCAGCCCGGAACCTCTCCTTCCTCAGCTTTTTGCCAGCAACCCCCTTCTCTTCCCATTGTTTCAGACCAAACATTCCCTGCTTCAGGTCTTTTTTCACAGCAGGGCAGTTTTCCCTGCTGACCCACTATCAGAACACACTCCACACTGCATGGTCTCTGCTTGCTCCGGGTCTCTCTCCTGTGAGGATTTCTGGTCCCTTGTCTACTGTGTCTCCAGCCCCCAGCACAGGCAGATGCTCATCAGTAGTTGTTAAGTGAAGCAATGGATTTCTAAAAGGCATGTTTCACAAGCTGACCAGTGGCTCAGCTTCCCTAAGACCCAAGCAAAAAGGAAGGGAGGCCCCAGATCCACACTGGCTGGTTAGTCAAGAGCTTGGCAGAGGGCACCCAACACTGGCAATGCTTCTTCTCCACGGCCCTGGGGAATTCAGGACTGGCTTGACCTCTGTCGAAAAGCCACTTCCTGGGGAGGTGCTTTCATCCTGGAGAGATAAGCCACACTGACAGCTCTAGCTGCATCTTAGGAGTTCAAACCACAACCACAGCCCTCACTGTGACTGACCGCCCCTCTCCGATTGGGCTCTAGACACAGCTGCTCACAGAGACGGGCAGCTGCTCCTCCCCGGGAGGAAGCTGTGTGAGTATGCAGCCAGAGAGACATGGGCTTTGCAGGAGTCAGGAGGGAGAGAGGAGGAGGGAGGGAGGAGGAGCAGGGGGAGGACAGAAGATACTGATAGCAGGAAGAGGCTTCTCCTGGAGACTCATGGAGAAGAGCAGCTAAGAAGGAATTCTGGGGTTCAGACAGCATGTGCTGCAAGTCAGCTTTGGGCAGAACACTTCTTTGAACTCCAGTTTTCAGATGTGACTCTGAGAGTCCATTCATCATGCATGATATGCCGAGCTTCACAACTGGTGCACCAGCTGAGCTCAGAAAATGGTGCTCTGTGAGCGTCTTCATTGGGAAATATGCTCTCCTCAAGCAGTCTCCCCACCCCTGTCACCTTGGGCCCTACTCACCCACTCCCCGGAGTGTGGGGACTTGTCATGGCTCCAATCACAGCATCTGTTGCTAGAGTAGCCTTCAGAGGCTCGGACTCAAACCAGTGGTCCAGCACCTGGAGAACAATGTCAAAGAAAGGCTCAAGGGCCTGGGTGGCAGGAGAGGTCCCTGGGCCATCATCTGGCCATACTCACCTTGGAAATGGGGGCTGTGAGGACCTGGTAGTACTGGGGGAGCTGGGCTCCCAGGGTGCGCCCTGTAAGAGAGGTAGAAACATCAAGTGAGACAGGCCTTGAGGAGACTCTGTTCCCATCCCCAGGGAAGAAGTAACAGGAAGAGGCAGAGACCTGGTGGAGAAAGCTTGACTCTCAAGGGCAGTGTGTACTTTTCAAGCCTTAACAAGGCTGTGGGCCCTCTTAACCATCTTCAGCTCTGAGCTGTTTCTCTGTAAGATCGGAGACATATTTCATATGCTACTGTAAGGATTGAATGAAATAGGAAAGATCTGTAATTTCAAGGGCACCAGTTACATTTTAGCCGCAGGACAGGGTTCTGGCCATTGTGGCCCCTCTGCATACTTTAGCAGTTGGCAAAAGTAGTTGCTTGATAAATATTTATCATAATAAATGGTTATTGCATGAAGCTCCTAGGACTGGTAATCTGAAAAGGAGTCTACTTTTGGTGTTGATGACAAAGTCCACTTGCTTCCTCCATTTCCAGATTCTCTGCTGTATAAATGCAGCGACAACCATGTAATGTAGTCGCTGACCTAATGCAGTGACAATGACCCAGTGTAGCTGCTGACCCAATGCAGTGACAATGGTCAAGTGTAGCCGCTGACCCAATGCAGTGACAATGACCCAGTGTAGCCGCTGACCCAATGCAGTGACAATGACCCAGTGTAGCCGCTGACCCAATGCAGTGACAATGGTCCAGTGTAGCCACTGACCTAATGCAGTGACAATGGTCCAGTGTAGCCGCTGACCCAATGCAGTGACAATGACCCAGTGTAGCCACTGACCCAATGCAGTGACAATGGTCCAGTGTAGCCGCTGACCTAATGCAGTGACAATGGCCCAGTGTAGCCGCTGACCCAATGCAGTGACAATGGTCCAGTGTAGCTGCTGACCTAATGCAGTGACAATGGCCCAGTGTAGCCGCTGACCTAATGCAGTGACAATGGTCCAGTGCAGCCGCTGACCTAATGCAGTGACAATGACCCCAGTGAAGCTGCTGACCTAATGCAGTGACAATGACCCAGTGAAGCTGCTGACCTACTCTGTACCGTGACTCTGGACTTATCCGTGTGGCTCACCAGCCAATGGAATAGTTCTAAATGTGTCACAAATGGAGCCTTGTAGCTGGCCTGGGCAGCAGGGCTTACCCCTGTGCATCTCTTTGATGTAAGAAGTACATGCCCAGGGTAGCATGCTGCCTCCACACACAGGGCGAGAGACACTGAGAGCAGAGTTGGCCCACTGGTTGCCCCAGCCCCAGACATGTGCATGAGACCAGACCAGAGCTACTGAGCCTGCTGGGATCAGCTGAACTACAAAGACCCATGGGAAAAAATGCTGACTCGTAGATGCCAAAGGAGTTTTGTGGGGTTTCTTTTTCTTGCGACCATAGCTAACTGATTCAGTATTTTTCTAGGATGTGGGAATTTGTCTGTGTACTCAAAGGGTGGTAGAAAAGAGCAGCATACTTCCTGATCAAGCTTCTATCGTAGACCCACGGCAGACCTCCCTAATTGATCACAGACCTTTTATTATTTTTGGTCTAAATTTAGTATTCTCTCTCATTTGGAGGCAACTCTTCAAATTCTCCTGGCTCTTACATCATGTTCTAGCCATGGCTGTGGCAATGAGCTCCATGCTGTGATCTGATCACACACTGGAATTCCTACAGCATCAAGTGAAGGCCTCTGTGAGAGGTACCTTTCCTTTCTTCTCTGGGCTTCTCTGGCACCATGCCAGTTCATCTACAGATGCATGGCCCAGAGGCCACTGTCTCATGAGGGAACCTCTGACCATTGGGGGAAAAGGCCCTTTCCTTCTCTTGGAAATGGTCAAGGACCTACACACCTCTTATAAAGGACTTTCCTCAGAGAGTCTCAGCAGCACCAGTGTCTTATCACCTGTCACCCATGGCCAGTGCCAACATGCACCCTAGTACTGGTGCTGCCTCTAAGTGGTTTGAATACGACATTTCCCCCTAGGCTCATGCATTTGAACACTTGTTCCCAGTTGTTGGCACTGTTTGGGGAGGTTATGGAACCTTTAGGAGGTGGAGCCTTGCTGGAAGAAGTATGTCACTGGGGGTGGGGCTTAGGAGTTTCTAGCCCCTCCCTCCACTCAGTTTGCACTCTCTCTCTGGCTCCTACATGTGAATGGAAAGTGATCCACCAGCTTCCTGATCCGGCCACCTGCTACCATGCTGTCTTTACCATTATGGACTCTGAAACCTTAAGCTAAAATAAACGCTTCCTTCCTTAAGTCACTTGGCCATGGTACATCATCACAGCAACACGAAACAGCTAATACACTCGAGCTAGCTTCTTCCTTCAGTCCCCTCTTTGGGTGCCTTGGGGTCACCCTTTCCCTTCTAAGCATACACAACCCTTTGTATTGTGCCCCATTTTTAGGGTAGGGTAGGCTGAAATTTTGGGGGGAGTGCCTGGCAGCTTCTGTGGTCCATGGTCTATTAGCTGACTACACTTGGTGTCCAGCCTCTCAGGTGGCCAAGCTCCACCCTACAGAAAAAAAGCCCAAGACTAGGCCACAAAATTCCCCCAATTCCTGAACTTGCCCCAAGATGAGACCACAAAATCCCTCCAATTCCTGAACTTGCCCCAAGGTCAGGCCCCAAAATCCCGCCAATCCCAGGTCATCCTGGAAAGTTCCACTCCTCTACAAGAAACTCTATATAAAGCCTGCATCCCCCCACCAGAAACCCTATATAAAACCTGCATCCCTCCACTCCCCCCCAGAAACCCTGTATAAAGCCTGCATCCCTCCACTCCCCTACAAAAAATCCTATATAAAGCCTACATCCCTCCACTCTCCCCAGAAACCCTATATAAAGCCTGTATCCCTCCACTCCCCCCCCCAGAAACCCTATATAAAGTCTGCATCCCTCCACTCTCCTACAAGAAACTCTATATAAAGCCTGCATCCCTCCACTCTCCTACAAGAAACTCTATATAAAGCCTGCATCCCTCCACTCTCCTACAAGAAACTCTATATAAAGCCTGCATCCCTCCACTCTCCTACAAGAAACTCTATATAAAGCCTGCATCCCTCCATTCCCCCTCAATTCTTTGCTGCTTCTCCTGAGCAGAGGCAGCCACCTTCTTGTGTCTTTCCCAATAAATATCTTGTGTGAGGTTTGCTGTGCAGTGTGACTTTGTGGTATTCCTCGGCTCCTGACTGCCAGGATCCCTTTCCCCTCAGAGCTGTAACACACACACACACACTGGTGGTGTCTTGGAGCTTCAAGCTTAGGTCCAGGCATCCAGAAAGTGGACTTGTTTCTATGAAGGTCACTTTCCACACCCTGATTTCCTGTACTTTACTTACCTGCCTTCAGCAGCGGCCTCAGGGTGGACAGTGCCTTGAGTCTCTGTAGCAGGGAGCCACGCTGGAAGGCTTCTACGTCCACTGGGGCAGCATCCAGCAGGGGGTCAATGGCTAGCACCAAGCGTTTCATGAACTCCTCGTACCTGGGAAAGGCCTGCAACAGAGCTTCAGGTTAGCTTTCCACAGTCCAGAACCCCACAGGATACTGCCCCATGCCCGGTTCTCTGTGCCACACTTCCATATTGTAACTGATTCTTACTTGAGAACCATTTTTGTGGTATATAACTTTACTGTGTTAAAGTTAAAACGTTTCCACATATGGCTGTCATGGCCCATAGCACAGCCCTGACGGTTCCTCAGGCCACATCTAGCTGTGGCTCAGCCTGGCTCTGCTCAGTTCTTCCACTTCCAGGTGTATATGTCACATGTGAAGGACAGAGAAGCCTGTGCATTAGAACAGCCACCAGGGCCAAAGGTCAGTATGGCCAACACCAGCCACACAAAACTGTCCAGTGCCTGAGGGTATGGGTATAGGCCCTGTGATGAAACCATTCGGAAGTTCTTTGTCCTTTGTGTGTGACTGATGGAAGGCAGATGGCTTCCCAGCATGTTGACCACTCTTTTTTCATCTCTCAGGCTGACATGCCGCCTTATCCCACATGGCCACAGAAGCCTGTGTTCTCTCGCTTAGCAGCCCCCAAAGCAGAGCTGCTCACAGCCGGGGCCCAGTCTCCGCCCTCCTCGCATGGGCTGGTAACAGGAACAGGGATAGAAGTTGCTGCCACCAGAGATTCTTACTGATTCTTAGCCCAGGACTTCGGATTTGGGCTCAGCTAGACATATGAACAAACCCAGGAACTGTGGTATTACATAAAGTTCTGTGGTAAAGAACTTCTTCAAAATCATAATTAATAATAAAGTTTTCCCTAGACCAGGCTTGCAAAATGACAACTTTCAAGCACAAAACCATAAACTGAGGCCCTTGGGTTCCTTGGGAAATGTTCCAGGCCTCCCACTGTGTGGTCACTAGCAGGTAGGGACACAGGCACTGGGACCTGGCCATGCACTGATGTCCACAGGTGTGTCTGACAGCGGCAGGATTTGAGCAAGGGTAGAGATGGCCCTCAGCCCACGGCACTGGATGTTCCTGAAGACCGGAGGGCAGTTCCGCTGTCAGCCGGGCGCTATGATCTCCAGCAGAAACGTCCCTCAAGGCTCAGCTGTTGAGGTTAAGTGACGCTGCTCAGGAGAAGACATGGGACTGTTTGGCAGGATGTAGGGCTTACAGGCAAGCTCTGAGGGATACAGGCTGGCTCTGCTTCTGCTGAGCTCTTCGCTCCCTGACGGCCAACAAGAAACAACCAGCACCTCACACTCCTGCCGCCCCAGCTGTGGGCTGCTCCCGTCACGACACCTTCCCACCATCACGAACAAACAACAAGCTAAATAAATCCTTCCTCCTTTAAGTTGCTTCTAGTCTGTATTCTGTCACAGTCTCACAGTCCCAGCAGCTCACATGGCCAGGCTTAGGATGCTCTGGGTAAAGGGGCGAGTGCTGCATGCCTGCGGCCATCCGGGCTTTGCCCAATGCCAGATTAGCACACCAGAAAGCAAGTGCATCGATTGCACGAACCTAGGTTTTCTTCACAAGCATGCCTCCACTGAGACAGGATTTGGTGCCACACCTGCGGCTGGCACCCAGGCTGTTACAAGAACGGCCATTCCAGAACACTTCCTCAATTGCAGAACCCTCCATACCAGGTCCATTGCGTCACTCACTGACTCATCTGGATGAAGCCAGCAAACATGTTCCTGCACTAGATCTGCAGGAAGCAGCTTGCATTCCCCATCTGGTGTGTGTTCTGCGAGGCAGATCTGCACACCACCACAGACACTTTCTGGCTTTGGCCGTCATGGATTGATGTCAAACTGAAAGAATATTTTCTTGTCCTAAGTTCTTCTTGTGGGCTTTCCTGGGCTTTAGGATGGGTAACACGTGGGGTTCTGAGCAAAAGCAGAGGGATAATGCATTCCAGGGATTCCTTTATGACATCCAGCATGCAGAGACCACCTGCTCAGCAGCCTCAGATGAACACATGCAGGCTCCAGGAGTCCCAGTGTCGACTGGTTTGAACCACTGTCCACAACTCTTCTCGGAGTGCCTAAGGTCAAAGGCCAGCATGGACCAAGTTGTCCAGGGAAAGCGGCCTGTTCAAGCCCCACAGCCTTGACACCCATCTCCTCTTGAAAGCCTGCTCTGGGTTGCTGAAGGAGGATTTAAATCCCTGTCCATCTTCCCTACCTGAGCATCCTTCTGTGAGAACTGAGAGATTTGCTTCTGGTTTTCAGCCACGTCTGTGCCCAGCAGAAGGGACCTTGGCACCTTGCTCAGTGTGCCCTCTTCCAGCATGGGAGTGAAGGAGTAGGGATTTCGGAGGTGAAGCCTCAACCCATGCTTCTGCAGAACACACAAAAAACACAGACATTTTAGGGATCTGTGTTTCTGCCAAAACACACAAAAAAACACAGATATTTTAGGGATCTCCAGTTCCCTTTGTGTGACCAGCTAGGTGTGTTTGTGATTGGTCCCAAGGTCTACAGACCCAGTTCCTATCTTTTTAATAGATGTTACAAGTGACCCTCTTGCCCAGACACCCACTGATAGACCAATGAAGCCATGACACACAACACTCCACCATGCACCCCATCCTGTAACATGTCAGACCGCCCCATCCATACACACTGTTCTTACTTCATCAGAAAGGGCACTCAGATTTACAGTTACCACCACACTACAGCTCTAGAGAGCTTATTACCCTCTCCATACACACAACAATGGAAGTTCAGAGGAGTTAATTTGTCCCATGTCATTTTAGAAGGCAGATCTGTATTTTAAAACCACATATCCATGACTCCCAGGCCCTGGAGCCCTCATCTATAACTGCCTTCCCTCACTTCAGAAGTAAATAAGTAAACTAAAAATAAACAATAAAGCAATGGTTGTGTGAAAATCCATATGTACAAGGTGGATAAATTAGTCACATAATTTTTAAAATGGACATGCCAGTCTAATTTACTACAAGGTCACTTGAAGTGGAAGTTCCCTTGATGCATTTAAATCAGGACTTGATTTACAGACATTTCACCAGCACACAGCGCTTCCTAAGAGCACATCTACTTCTCCAAAGGAGCCAATGCAAGACTGTGTGCTAACATCAGTTGGATGGACTGTGGCTGCTTTCTGGAGACTTCTTGTCCTGACCCATGGCCTGCTCCCTCACTTTATGTCTCTGCTCAGATACTGCCTAGCAACAAGCCCCACCCCGGCCCCGAACACACTGGCAGGCTCTCTGTCCCCTTCATATGTATTTTGCCCAGAATGCTTATCACCACATGGTTAATTACACATACATTTGTCTCCACCTCTCTGGGCGGAACACAATACTTCGAGGTGGGGGCACTGTCTTGCTACTGTCGTTTCCCTCCTGCGGTACATTCTCTAAGTGTTCTAGTGACTGAACGTTGCTGACAGGATGGTGCCACAGAGGATAAAAGCTAGAAAGCAAAAAGAAGCCCATCCTAGCATTCCAGGGGATGCGCAAACCGGAGACTTCCCAGAGGACACCTGGACACTTTACCCAGGCAACGGGATTCTGCAGAGCAGAATCCAAATGTGGGTAGGGACTGGGCTGGGGCAACTTAAGGCTTTATTATTTTTTTTTAAAGCATTAAAGTTGAGATTTCTTTATTGCAGGTTGGAGCAACTTGTACCTTGGGCCCTTTTTTTAAAATTTAATTTTGTGTATACAGGCATTTTGTGTGTATGTGTATGTAACACCTTGTATGTCAAATGCCTGTTGAGGTCAGAGGAGGGCATTAGGTGTTCTGAAACTGGAGTTACAGATGGTGGTGAGCAGTCATGTGGGTGCTGGAAATTAAAGTCAGGGCCTCTACAGGAGCAGGAAGTGTTCCAGCCCCTACCTTGGTTCCTCTTGACATGATGAATTGTTTAACTGTGGGGGCTATCCTCAGCTCCTCCCTTTCCCTCACCACTGGCGTCTCTTATATCTCCGAACCTTGTCAGCTCTGTCTGCAGAAGCTGTCTATGCCTCTCCAGCCCCATGCCCTCATCACAGACTGCCATCTGGTGGTCCACTGAGCAGCTGCCTCTGGTATCTGTGGGCCCTCCATGCCACCTCGACCATGGCCGGAGGGCTGATCTTCTATAAACTTGTCAGTCCCACACTCTGCTTCCTGACTAAACACCTCTTCTGCCTTTTCACTGATGCTACAGGAAAAGCAGTCCTAGCACAAGCTGTCCTGCCCCCTTTCCCGTATCCCCCGTAGTCGGCCTGCTCCGGCCTGCAGGGGACTCTCGGCTCAAACTTGCCTTGACCTGCCTACTTCCACATCCCCTGGCCAGAGCGCTCTCTGTTCAGATGTCTAGTGACTTCTTGCCTTTTGAACATCAGCTCATGCATCATCCCTTCAAGGAGTTCCTGGTCACCAGGTGAGGGTGGGACTTCACTTCTTCCTAGCACACTGTCTTCCATTTTTCTTTCTGTCACTTACCTCTAGTTAAAGTTCGCTTACTGTACCTCCCCTCAGGCTTGTTCTGGGCCCGGTACAAAGCAGGCACTCTGGGGACATTGAACAAACCAGTCGGATATGCAGCCCAGGGGAAGCTGAGTTATTTCAAGTGTAACTAATTGAACATGGATGACTCTTTTTTTTTTTTTTTTTCCTAAACTGATCCTATGGCTTCTACCTCTGTCATTCCTGATTGTTCAATTATGAGAAGGAAGAGGAAGATAATGCTAAGCCACTACCAGGATGTCCAGGAGTTTGTTCAGGGAATGCAGTTAGCCGGGAATAGCAGCCCTTCCTCTGCTTGCCCGAGTCTCAGCGTGCACCGCCATCCCAGGTGGAGAGGGACAGGGAAGGACCAGCTGTGTCTCACAGACCGGAGAATGCTGGAAAAGGCTGCTCTGGGGTCCCACAGCTAAAGCAGGCTTCTGAGTGAGAACCTTGGCACTCCTCACTCCTCCCGACTCATACCTAGGTCATCCCTACCAATGTCTAGCTCTGAAGGACTCACCGCAGGCAGATTTCCCCAGTAAAACATGACTGGAAGGAATGTGGATGGGAGAGACCTAGAAGATCCTCCAGGGATGGGAGGGAAGGCTGAGGCTGCCTCTGGCCCCCAAATCCGCCACAATACAAATTCCCTTCGGCTACAGTATGAGATGGACTGAAGAGCCTGGACCTAACTCAGGCTTTGGTTAAATTCTATCCATTTCTGATACTATGTCTCCTCCACTCTCCTCTCTCAGAGATAATAATTTCTTCCCTTGGGCTTCTGTTATCACCCAGTCCACAGGCTCTTGTACCTGGTTCTATTAGAGCAAAGAGCTTTACAAACAGTGGCTGGCGTCTTCTTCATTTCCACTTGAGCAGGACTCGAACACTATGGGAGACTCCCTGGCTCTTTTCTCTAAGGTGGGAGACAGCCCAGCAAGCACCTTGGAGCTAAGTCAGCCCAGAAATGAGATGGTTGAGTTCTAAGGCTGTGGCTGCTCTGAGGAGGAGGGGGCGGGGACAGAGGCAGGCATGCCAGGGGACAAAGGTTAGGGGACCAGGAGAGAACAGGGGGCAGGGAAAGGCTTCAAGGATCCCTTCCAAACGGCCCAGGAGCCTGAAGAGGCCCCAGTCCTCTGAGACAAGCGGCACAGTGGTGGTCAGTAACTCCTTCTATACCAGTCTGACCCAGGTGAGGGAGGGGAATCTCTTTTTAGGCAAGATCACCACACACGTTAAAGAGAAAGCCCTATGTTACAACTAAGGCCAAGCCGAAGGCAAGGACAGCAAAATGCAATGGAAGCGGGACAAACAACTGTCCCCTTAAGAGGACTGTCACACCCCCAAGTGGTACCCAAAGGTCTCAGACCTTCACTGCGGGCCTATGGCCAGGATGGGGGAGCGCTGCTGGGGGAGGGGTTACAGATTAAACAGGGAGCACATCTCAGGTACTGCAATGGAAAATCTCCGAGCTGCCTCTAACCTGTTTTCATGCTCTAGCTATATTATATATTTCATGCTCTAGCTATATATATATTTCATGGCTATATTAAAAATAATCCCGCACTGGCCTCCCAGCAAGAGGAGGTCCTCAGCTGTCTGTCACTAATGGTGGGGTTAAAGGTGAGTCAAGGTGAGGGCTTTAACCTGGTCACAGACCTGAAGGGTAACTGGCGACAGTAAATACAATTAGTCCCTCCTGGCCCAGCGTCAACAAACATAAAGGGTAAACTAATGGTCATACAAGCTCTTCCTCCCTGGTCACACAAGTCAAAGGCAAACTCAGGGTGATACGTAATTCCTCCCTGGTTTAGGGGCTTTCCAAGTTCTGGGCCACCCAGAGCGACTCTTAGCAGACTGTAAGCCTAAGCCAATGACACTAAGGTTAAATATTCCCCCTTGACTAGGCCTTAAAAGGTGGCGCATCCAAGGCCCACGCCATCCTGAGAAGAGAGCAACCTTCTGCTTCTTCAACAAAAACCCAGGGATGAGGCTATGGGTACCCAACTCTCGCTTTCTCTGGTGTGCCTACACTGTGTCTCACTGGCATAGCTTTGCTTTGCACATTATTAAAAATATCTAGCCAGCCTGGGCTACAGAGTGAGATCCAGGACAAGCTCCAAAGCTACACAGAGAAACCCTGTCTCGAAAAACCAAAAAAAAAAAAAATCTGTCTACCCCTCATCTTCCAGCTCTTTCCCCTGATACCTTGACATCCATGTTGAGGGCACTCCCCGCTAGCTCCAATAAACTGTCTCTGGCTTCCTTTCTGTGTCTGTTTTTAAGTTCTTTTATCTTTGAGACCAAGAACGTGCAAAGGGGACTCTGCTTGCGGCGACACGGTTTCCTGATCGTGCTGTCAAGAACGGCGGTAGATATGCCAAAGTTTAACAATGGCATGTTAGGGAGCTCTGCAAACTCAGGCACCCAAAGCTGCATGCAGGGGCTTCATGAAGACCAGGTAAGATTCCAGGAGGCAAAGGGAGCTGGAAGCCCCGTCCAAGGCACCAACCAGGTGCTGCCGTGCAGATTGAAGGTCTGATTCATCTAACAGACCTCGTTTTACAAGAGGCCTGTTTCTCATTTGAGATTTCCAAGCTTTTAAAACAGAGGGCAGCTAAGACAAAACCAAGCTGTGGCATGTGGGTGGAGATGTGTGGGGTAGACAGAGCCTGGAAGACAGGAAAGACCTCAGGGAGGGAGCGGATCGGAGCATGGGATATGATGCTTCCCTCCCAGGCCAGGAAGAAGGAATCACTCCAGCCCTTGACCACCAGGCCAAGAGGGGCAGCTGTACCTTCAGCTCCAGGTCTGTGTAAATCTGTGGCCTCAGGAGGCTGAGGAGATAGGATGCTCGGGAGAACTTGAATCCTGGAACCAAATCAGAAGAAACAGTCACCCCAAATCATCCCTGCCTCTTCTCCCCACTTCTCTGGGCTCACCTGGAATGATCTCCTCAGTGACAGCTGCACCCCCAATCACATGGCGTCTCTCGAAGACCGTAGTGTTCACCCCCAGTCTCTGGAGGTATGCTGCCTGGGAGGACAGAGGGCTCTTTCTTGATCCCTTGGCCTTGACCAAGGAGCCTCACTGCAGGGCCTACACCATGTCCTTGGTCACAATGTCTAGATGTTCTCTCAGATCTGGTGCACCTACATCTGCCCCTCCACTTTCCAGCTGAAGATGACTGTCCTTCCTTTAGAGGAGGCCTAGTGCCTGGGGGACACATATTGTATCCTATCTACCCTGCCCTGGATGTCCCTCTCCTTCCTCTAGGCTGGAACAAGCCCCTCTCTTCCACCCAGGCATATATATGTGTATATATATATCTCAAAGGCAGTATAGTAAGGCTGAGAACATCAAGCCAGAATCTTCAGTTCAACTTGTCATTCTCATTTCTGCTGATCATGTGCCCCAGTTCCCTCCCATGTAAAGACAGAGCTAATGATTACAGTTCCAACTTCCGTAGCTTCACGGGGCTGGGGAGGGTTACCTTAGCTGCTCTCTAACAAGTATTACAGTATGCTTCATTGCATGTGCCCTGACACCTGTGGCACGTGCAATAAAGGGATGCTGTGGCTGGAGCAAAGCTTCATTTGGAAGAGATGACTGATGACTGAAAGGTTCTACAAACCTTTCTCTAGTATTCAGTGGGAAATGAATAAATATATATTGACCTGAGTTAGTCTAGAACTGCAGGCTAGTCTAGTCTAGCCCTGCAGTCGTGTGTGTGTGTGTGTGTGTGTGTGTGTCTGTCTGTCTGTCTGTCTGTCTGTCTGTCTGTATGTCTTTGCACCACTGATATCAATGAGGCGATACAGAGGGTGAAGTTCCTGAGTTACATTTTGCGAAGTTCACTGGTCACTACTAGGCGGGTGTTCCTAGCCTGCCATGCTAGGAACAGTTGCTGTGGTACTCCCTACTGTGCAGATGGGAAACTGAGGCTCAGTGAGGGTGGTAACAGCTGGCCTCGGGCTCCCAGAGCTGCTGTGTAGGTGCCGGGAATCTAGTCTCCTGATAGATCCTATTGAGAAGAAACTGGCGTTGGGCAGCTGGCCTGGCACGAAGGGAAGCCATGCTGTTCTCCTTCCCCGAATGACATCAGCAAACCAGACTGCTCTGAGACCGTGGAAGTGAGGCCGAGCTCTGAGCAAGCCCACTGTGGTGTGTGAGCACAGCGGGAGGTCTCTGTACTATCTACGAAATACCAACCCCCCCCACCCCCCCCCCTCCACCCCCACCCCCCCCCACCCCCGGCTACAGATAAGCTTTGAGATTTCCAGGTTGTCTTTGCTGAGAGCATCTACTGGAGAGCAAGCTCCTATTTTTTCAGATCCTTTTCCAGTTCTTTCCAGCACTCTCTTCCTTGGAGAGCACAGACTGTCTCCAACTTGGTGTGAGAGATCCTCCCGACCCCAGCCTCCAATCTGCAACTCTATTCCAGGGACATTTTATAAGCCTTTCACAGGCCATGGGGACCACATGCCTGTGGACCCGTGATGTCCTCTCTAACTGGCTCTGGGTCAGCACTACATGCATGGACAAACTGCCCTTTCCTTCTCCCCGGTGACCTTTGTCCTGCTTGCTTTTTCAAATCCTCCCCTTCACTTCTGGAAGTCACCCGCTCAGGGGCCAGTGAAGTGGGACCAAAGCGGTACTCACAGCCACCAGCCCGTTGTGTCCTGCAATGAGACAAAAGAGAGAAGTGTTACTAAGTACAGGTTCTTTAAATGTTGAGTCCCCATTCCTATCCCCAGGCCACAAATATCCTCTCCCCTGTCCACATTTGGATGCAGGACCGCGTCTCACGGGGGTCAGGAAGCCCACCCCTGGTTCTGTTGACCTTGGCTTGGAAGAAGCTCTGTTCCTTGTTTCAAGGTCAAGAGAAGTCCACAGATACCTGGACTTCTGTCCCTAGAGGGAGCTGGTGACCGTGTATGGAACCACCATGGTTTACAGGGTTGTGAAGGGAAGGTGGCCATTTGCTGGTATGTGTGGGCAGGGGCTATTCGGCCAGCTGAGTGCCATTCAGGGGGACAGTTGCTGTCACACATAGCTTGTTTGACCCAAGTGTGGCTCATACCAGGCACAGCTGTGCCCCTAAAGGCTTTATCCACACAGGAATATCTTTGTCAGTCCCTAGTGCTCCAACAAGGAAATGTGAATAGTTTGAAATGAAAAAAGAACGGAGTGACTAACACATATACCTCCAAGGTGTGCACCGGTAACAGGGTGAGCTCCATTCTGCAGGTTGGGGTGTGTGCTGGAACCTGACTTCTCACAGGTTCCCAGTAATTTCCATGCAAGCGGCAGCAGAGCCACACTGAGTGCCCAGGCCCCAGGCTGCTCTGCTCCTCTGCCTGGGAGACAGCTCAGCTGTTGGTGGAGAATCACTCACAGGCAGAGAAAAGCTCAGAGGGTATCAGCCAGCTTTGGGGCCTCTGGTCACTTTTCTCCTTGGTGAGGGATGCCACTCTTAGCCTTTCAGATGTCAGTAGATGGTTGTGATCCCTCAGCACCTACCGGGACCCAGTGTGGGCTCAAATAAAACTCTCAGTTCTTCACCTGACAAATGTCCACAAGAAGGGGAGCAGCAATGACCCCCATGATGAATTTCTCCATGGCTGAGTTGTTTTTGTTTTAAATTTCCCACATGGAGACATCCAGAATTTTAGAGGTCACTGAGCCAACTTCTCGTCCATTAATGGAGCCTCTGAAACTGGGTTTTTCAAGCCCCTTTGCTCACGGTTCATGAGAATAAATGTAGCTTACATCATGACCTGGCATACGGCTGACTAACAAATGTTTTCACAGAACCAAAGCTCCCTGCCCTAGTATTAACCCCTCCTGTGATCAGTCTACATGATAATCTATGTGGTTTTATTTTAAGAATGTTAGAAGCATTTCATAAGAAAGTTTAAAATAATGCTTGTTGGACCTGCCATTGGTTTGAACCTGCAGCTGGAGAAGCCATTCTCCGAATATACACGTAAATTCAAAGCAGGCAGCTCCCAGCTTCATCTGGCTTGGCCCTCAGAGAGGCATTTAACAACCAGTGGCTGCCTTCATATGCAAGGCAGAGAGTAACATGTATGTAGCATGTTTTCTTCATGTGAATGTGGAATCCCGTGGTGTTGAGGGAGGAGAATTAGTAGTCTCCGAGAAGCGCTCAGTCTGTTGCAAGGCCATGACAAGCACTGTAGTTATTATTTGGCTTTTCATTAGCTGTACTTATCAATCTTGGAAAACTAGTAAAGTCTTCCTGGCCAGCTGGTCCCAGTTCAGCCATGAATGGACACCCAGACTTCAAGTGAAAGGGGCAACGATCTAAACATCAGAATCCTACCTCCACACCCTGGCTGACTCTCTTCTAGTGGCGTCTAGTGACCTGTCCCCTTCTGCTGTGGGATCTGCTAATCCCCAGGCCTCAAGGGATGCCCACTCAACAGTTGATGCCCTTGAATGGAGCTTGCTGAGCTTGGGCCCTGCTGCCAGCCTTTTCCAGACTTACTCCCTGTGTGGGGTGCTGGGTCGGCGTGTTTTCAGTCGAAAAACATGGCATTTAAATCAAGAGCACTGTCTATTTGATTTTTAAAATCGTGTGAGACACATCTTTATTTTAGTATTAATAATAAACACAAGTCGGTGTGTAATAAACACCCATCAGTGCACACTCGGAGAGGATGGCTCTCAGCATACACCCAAAGAAGCCAGCCAGGGCCAGCATTCAAAGCTGTGTGATGCGCCCATGGAAATGGGAACCTGCTACCATCTATATAAAGCCCATCTGCAAAGAAATGCCTTCAGACCCCAAGAGTGTGAAATGGAAGGCCCTGGGGTGGAATGCAGCCTGGCCCTAGGCTGTGCTTCACCCCATTACCCAGCACACTTCAGTGCTCTGAGCCCCAGTCAGCAAAATGTTGCAGGGCCACCACAAAGTCTGAGGGAAGGCGGTGGAGAAGGGCACCATCTGTGCATGCACAACAGGGTATCTGGGACCCCCCCCCCCCCAAAAAAAAAGAATCCTCTTTTCTTTATGAATTAACTCTCTTTCCTCTTTGGATAGGTGACCTCAGTGGTGAGATGGGTACCAGAACTCAGGGCTCAGAGTGGCAGGATTTCTTTTGCCTGCAGTCCAAGTTCTTTCTTCCTAACCCTTAAGTACCATATGCTTTCTGAGGAAACTCACGGAGTCCGCGGAGGGAACTCATTCCTTTCACAGGAGATCTGGGGACGCTCCTGAGTTTATTTAGTCCTCATTGGCAGTCTAGAAAGATTTAAATTCAGAAGGCAAGAACCATTCTAGACCACATAGCAGGCCCAGGATGGAACCAGAACCAAGGGCTCCTGACTCCCAGACTAGGAGGACTCCATCACAAGCTCTGCTCACTGGCACTCCTGGCCAGGTAGTGCCCACAACCGAGGCGGCAGCGGGGCTCCCTGGAGGCCCCCCAAAGGGCGCTGCCTTCCCTCTCTGAGCTCTGGCTCTGCCTTCTTTAGCTTTACCTGCTCCTATCACCACGGCATCGTACTCGGGCTTCAGGCGGGCCCCGGCTCCCGACTGAGCTCGTTTCCAAGCAGGGCGGGGAGAGGAGTGCAAAGCCCTGCAGAGACCTCGGCGGCTGGCAGCCATTTCTGCCCCCAGCAATTTTCTTGCAGTCAGCTTTTTCCAGCGGCCCAGGCAGGGGGAGGGGCTGAGTTACAGCCCAGTGTCCGCCTTGGCCTTGGGCCACATTTCCCAGGGCCTGGCCTTCGGCTGCTCTGAGTTTGCGCACCCTAGGCTTGGGAAGAGGGCGGGTAGCCTAAGGATCACAGTCGGTGCCACCTCCAGTACTCAAGGACCAGAGTGAGAACAGTTAACTAGGTTGCCTGGGGCCCAGGGGTGGGACAGAAGAGAGTGGGAGGGAGGGGTGGAGCCAAAGCAGAGGCCCCGCCTTCCCTGTGCCTCCTTTCACAGGGCACAAGCCTGGGTGCGGGGCAGAGATCCTGGGAGTGGGAGGGGCACAGTCCAGTCAGACTTCACTCCTGTTTGAAGGGTAGAGTCCGATCTTGCAAAGCGGCAGCTGCTCCGTGTGGCGGGAGCCTCCACAGCCACCTTTCAGCAGGACCAGGGCCAGGGCCTTTGGTCAACAGAAAAGACCACCTACTTCCCTGAGAGCTGTGTGCTCTCTCCTGCACACTCCACCGAGGCTAGTCTTGCTGGGCAAAGGCAAACACTGTTGTGATTCTTGAGGGTCACTCCTTTGAAATTCTGGACAGTTTTGGTTTGGGACCTTTCACGTTTTCCAAGGATTCTCAAGGATTCGAGCTCATACCTGCAAATCACCGCAACTAGTGTGCTTCCTTACTATCCCTGTGTCCCATCTCTAACGGGGGATGCTTTTGTCCTGTCCACTCCTCAAGAGTCAGTCCGCTGCAGGAGAAGGGCACCGGAAGTGGAGAGTGCTGCACTCTGAGCTGGGCAACCTAGTGTGGCAGTGAGAGGCCGGAAGTGAGACCTGATAAGAAGACAGACGGGGGAGGGGCCGTGGCTAGCTAATAAAGACTGTGAACTCCAAGATGGCTGGCTTCCACCTCACCCTTCTGTCCTGAGACAAATTCCTGGCAGCTTAAAACAAAAGCCTGGCTAGGCTTTTTCTCTGCCAGTAGGGCCCACCTGTCTGTGGACCATGACAAGTTCAAGGTCAGACTAAGCTTGTTTACCCCAAAGATGTGGATCTCTCAGCCTCCCTGTCCTGTTTTTGCCAAAACTGACCAAGCCTAACTTGGCAGAGGAGGCCCCCCTCAAATACCTGTCAAACCCCTAGCCCTTTGGTTTCCTGAGTCCCCCCACTGCTTTGCAGAGTGTCTTTTCTCCGTGTGACTTGCTGGGGGCATGTTTCTTGGTCCAAGGGGAGCAGGGCTGTACCCCAACATTCTGGTGGTCCCTGGTCCTTGTATCTATCCTGAAGTTGGTACCTCTTGGTTAGAAGGGAGGGCTGTACCGTTAGGAAGTTCCCTGGGTACACTGCTTTTCTGGGGAGCTTTAAATAGGAGCAGAGCCCTGTCTTCATGTTGGACAAGTGAATCCAAATCTCTGGGCACAGATCTCAGAACCACTGGCCCAGGGCAGGAGAGAGAGCACGCTTGGGCAGGCTGGGACTTATGGAGGGATTCTCAATGTCACCAGAAAGGCAAGAAACACAGGCACAAATGGCTTGGATAATGACAAAAACCAACATTTATTGAGCACCTACTGTTTTCTCCTGACCACCCTGAGAGGTAGGTATTACCAGTTCAAACATGAAGAAACCGGATTCTCCCAGAGTTGGAGGGGGAGGTAGCCAAGCTGGAACGCTGGCCAGCAGTAAGAAACAGCTACCCCATTCAGAATGGTGGGAAGAGGGCGACGTCACACAGCCTGAGCACTAAAGACTCCCTTCTGCTCTCCTGGGCACCCAGAGAGGCAGTTCTCCAGGGAAGCTGCTGCCATCTCTGACCTCACAGTGCTGGAGGCCAACAGAAGCATGGCATCCCCTTCCCTTCAGAGAAGGCTTGCTCATTAGCCCGCGTGGAGGAGTGAGCGGTGGCCTGTGAGAGACCCAGGGCTGCCGGGGACGGGAGGAGGCCTAGCTGTGGGGAATGCCTGCAAGCAAGGTTGGCTGGAGACCAGGCAGAGGACAGCACACTCTGCCTAGGGCAGGGTCACCCGGGAGGCCTCCCCCAGGCGCCGGGCTAGCTGGCTGGCCTGCTGCACCAGCAGGTCAGTGGGGATGACGGACAGGTGCAAGGTCAGTAGCTCATAGCAGCGGATGGGTTCCGAGGGGCGGCTCTTGCTGTAGTAGCGCAGGAGTTTCCTGCAGGAGATAGGGTGGGACTCAGGCAAGGCTGGGGGGGATTCCTGGCCACACGAGCCTCAAAATGCCCACCCCGCAGTTCTCGGAGAATGACCTAGGCTGTGACATCACCTGTTGCTCCTAAGCTCCAGCTCAACCTAGGGACACAGTCCCTTTCTTGGGCTCTCTATCCTTGAACAGTGGTGTTTTAGCTAACGTGTGTGTGTGTGTGTGTGTGTGTGTGTGTGTGTGTAGTAGTAGTAGTAGTAGTAGTAGTAGTAGTAGTAGTTGGGGGGGGGGGGTGTACTGAAGTCTTCCCGTGCTGCAGCTAAGACTGCCAGCATCAGGACAGTAGGGACTTGAGTGTGCTTCTGGGGGCTTCCTCTCTCCATGCAGGATTCCCCCCAGGTTTGTGTTATCAAGGCAGCTGCTCACTCTTGGAAAGGCTATCCCCTGGGAATTGGAGCTCTCGCCACCAACCCCTGGGGCACATGGGGTTCTAGGGAGGGTCAGCGTCACCTGTAGTAGTCACCTCCCAGCACTCCAATGGGGACTGAGTCATCTGAGAGGACAGGCACCTCGATCATCTGCAGTTTGTAGCCCTGAGGGAGGAGGCAGGCAGGCAGTCTTAGGACAGGAGGGAGGGAGCAGAGGGTGGGCTCGAGAGAGATGTGTGAGGTGGAGCCCTGGCAGGGCCCGGCTGTGTGCCTTATCTCTGTGTGCCCTGTGCTGTGTGTGCCCCATGCTGGGGGACAGCGTCTGTACCCCTTTTTACCTTGCTTTCTTGCCTGGGAGGTAGACACAGCCTCCCATGGGGACTGGGTTACTGAGGAGCTCAGAAAGGCCCAGGAGAGGGACACGAGGGTTGGGGTTGGGGGTTGGGGTTATTCCAGGGTCTTGAGAAGCAAAGTGTTCTCAAAAGACTCCAAGTCTCTGTTTTGAAAGAAGTGGGAATTCCTGGGGCAGGACAAGGTTGGGGAGAGACAGAAGATCTGTAAAGCATGTGTGTGGTGTCAGGCACAATTCCGGTGCCTTCAGAGTCTCCTAGCAGGGGCTCAGGTGGCACCACGAGGCCTGCCCCATAGGGAGATGGCTCAGCAGTGTTCAGGGACCCTTGTGTGGCCTGTCACAGTCAGTGATCAAAACTTGGTCTCCCACAGCTCCGTGGTACCCCACTGCCCCATGGGACCACTCTAGTCACCAAATCCTTGTCCCCAGAAGCTCTAGCACTTGGAGGGCACTTAGGAAGACTAGGAGCTTGAGGGTCAGGGCAGCAAACCTTGGGTTTCAGCTCCATCATTTGAGTTTTGTGGACCTAGCCATAGTATTTATCTCCAAGACAGCAGTGTGTCCCCATCTGCAAAATGGGTCAACAAAACCCATCCCAACCATTCCCTCGGGTTGTGAGGGACCGATGAAGAAACTACATTGCACTATGGTAAGGTTGGGTTGTCACCCTCAGTGAGTGGAAAGAGAGCAAGAGCCAGGAAGGGTACAGGAGCAGGACAAGAGACCCTGAGGGAGGGAGGCGTGATCCTTGGACCATTAGCAGTAAGTGAGAGGGAAGCATTAAGAAAGAGGAGAGGAAGGAAAGGGGGCGGGGAAGGCAGAGGCAGTGGGTTTCAATGAGCTTGTGGTACGGGGGGTGGCGGTGAGGTCTTCAGTACTGCACAGGCTGCTGGGAGCAACCCTTGGGCAGGCTGGTCAACAGCCTTGAACCTGGGTCTTCCCAGAGAGTGGGGGTCATGGTGTAGCCTTCTTTGTACACACAGGGACGGTACTGAAGTAGTAGAGCTGAAGATACAATCAGGGCAAAATGCCTTCTCGGACTAGGGAGTGTCTCCCGTCCTCAGCTCACATCACATCTACCTGGACAGTCCTACACCCCTGCGCTGTGCTCACCTGCTGCTCACCGGGGACAAGAAGAGACAGACAGATGGAAGAGCGCAGAAGAAAGCTATCCAAGGGCTTGGAGCAGCAGACAGCTCTCAGGACCGTCCCGCCCAGAGACTGGGCACACCCACCATGTCATTCTCGAACCACAGGAAGTAGGAGCAGCGGAAGTCCCCTTCCTGGAACAGCAGCGTGGTGCAGCCCTTCTGCAGGTACCTGCGTGCCAGCCGCACCAGAGCCCAGACCTGGGGAGGAGGAGATTGCTTAGTGCTACTCTCACGGCCATGGTCTCCGTATGGAAAAGCAAAGCACAGAGCTGAGGGGTTCCTGGGAGTCCAGGGCTTCTCAGAGGCAAGACGCTGTCTGGGCTCAGAGTAGTGGGAATAAACCTTTACAGGATGGATGCCAGAAGGGCTCCCCCTCCAGCTGCTGTGAGGATAAAATACATGTGGAAGTGCTTCCTGCAACTTTACTATACACACGACCCAGAAAACAGACCTGAAGGTTGTGAATAAACCCACTTGCCCGGTCTGCAGGACTGCAAGGCAATGGGACTGGCTCTGTGCCAGAGGCCCCAGGAAGCACACCTACATGGCAGTGAACTCTGAGCTGTGGCATCACCTGCTTCAGGGGTCAGGCCCGAATGGAGGCTCACTATAGGGTGGCTATAAACAGTGGCCCTGAGGGACTTCCCGCTTTAGGCCCCTTCCTGGGAATGCTCTGTCTAAAGCGGGTATTGATACCTAAGTTGCCTAAGAGCAGCCTGAGGGAAGGTCTTCTCTACTAGACTTGCCCACTTCCCATGTGAGGGCCGGGAAATGACCCACTCTGTCAAAAGCCTCAGTGGAAGGGATGTGGGATTTACTTCGTACTTGACCATAATGTACTATCTAATTAAATCTGTAACAGACACAGGAGCCAGCTCCAAGCTCCAGGAACACAACCTGACAACACAAATAGATAACTTTAATAACATCCCTCCCACCTGACTTTGTACTCGCATTTCTGGGGATCCTACTGAGGACATCCAGGGATGAGGACTTAGGCGTACACACAGGTGTGTCCACAAATCATTTCTAATAGTGACAGTCTGGAGACATTCTAAAGGTTCACTCAGCAGGGGATGGCTTTGTGAATTATGCTACGTCGGCATGATGGGCCATCATGGGGCTGCTAAAGATGAGACATGTGAAGAGTTAACGGCGGGATGCGATGCACCTGACACAGTGTGGATGAGAATGTGTCACTCAGCCCTGTGCTCGCAGAGGGAGCAGCACTCGGATGGACCTTAAAGAAGGACTGAGGGCCGGGCGGTGGTGGCGCACGCCTTTAATCCCAACACTCGGGAGGCAGAGCCAGGCGGATCTCTGTGAGTTCGAGGCCAGCCTGGTCTCCAAAGCGAGTTCCAGGAAAGGCGCAAAGCTACACAGAGAAACCCTGTCTTGAAAAAAACCAAAAAAAAAAAAAAAAAAAAAAAGAAGGACTGAGGGATGATGGGCTAGCGTCCTGCTGCCCGAGCAGGATGCGGAGGGAAGAGGTGGTAGGCGAGAGAGGTGGCGGTGCTGGGCCCAGCAGCCCCTGCTCAGCCCCTGCTCTGCCCCGGCTACGAGAGTTCACCTGTGCTCAGTGACCTGTGCCCTTTGCACTAATATTACACCGAAAACAGTAGCATCTCCGCAACAGATGTTGGAATTAAAGAAGACCTGAAATGTCACTAAACCACGCCAAGGCCACACGGTGAGCAGGAACAGAGCTGGCCTTCCACCATCTAGCTTGGTTTACCTATCATGATACACTTTATGTGGACAAAATAAAAACACAGCATTTTAGAAATGGCAGAGGTGTCCCTTTCCTTCAAAAAGAAAACTACCAGTCTGTCATGAAGAAGAGTCAGTTAAATTAGAAGAACAGAGACAGGTGCTTCTTTAGCAGAAATCTGCCAGTTTTACACTTGGCTGGGCTGAGGGTGTAGCTCAGGGGCAGAGTGTTGGCTCAGGTCCGTACCTAGCATGACAAAATTAAAGAAATAAAGTTCTGTTGTGGGCTAGTTGTACACTGTGTGAAGGTGTATTGTTGTGATTGGTGTAGTAAAACGCTGAATGGCCAATAGCCAGACAGGAGGTACAGGAGGGACTTCTGGGGACAGAGGGAAGAGGAGGAGGAATCTAGACACCTGGTAATGTCTGCCACATGACAGAAGGTAGATTAATATAAATGGGTTAATTTAAGTTGTAAGAGCTAGTTAGGAACAAAGCCTAAGCTTTCGTAATTAATAAATCTCCATGTCATTATTTGGGAGTAGGTGGGACAGAGAAAGACTCATCACAAAATTCTGATGCCCAAATTGGTTGACCCTGATGTTCTTTCCAGTTTGGCCAATTCAAAAGACCCTCGCTGAGCATCACTTATGCTGGACGCCGACCGGGTTCCAGCACTGTGGATGCCAGGCACACCCAAATACACCAGGAGCGGCTGCTGATGTGCCCTGAGGATCTCTGGGTCTGGAGGATGAGCTGCTGAGCCTAAGGAGCTCACGGCAGATGTAATTAGGCACACAGGTCATGGTGGACAAGCACAGCAGTGCTAGGCTAGAAGCGATTAGAGCCTCAGAGACCAGAGTGGTCTATTTCTCCTGGGTCAGGGGTCAGGCCTCAGTGTACCCTGACAAGCAGCAAGGAGCACCCGCACCAGAGGACCAGTTACCTTGGCTTTGACGAAGGCAGCCAGGGGCCCCTTGCCCAACTCGGAAGACATCTTCTTGCTGCTGCTGAGAGACGGGGCCACCATCTGCCCAGTGGTACGGTCTACATAGATGAAGTGGACCAGGCCTGGGAAGTCCTCCAGGTAGGTGAAGGCCTGAGTTAAGGGACTTAAAAGCCAGCAACAGTGGGGGTGCCTCAGCCCTGGTCATGGGGTTCCAGATTTACACAGGTGAGGCTTAGGGGACCGGGCTGCTCCTCTATACAAGCTTCTGCCTCCACTAAGGCCCAGGAATCTGATTTTTCCCTCAGCTCTCTCCCCCTCCCCGCATCCAGTCTTAAGATTCTTGGCACCTGCACGTTTAATATAATCTGCACTCTATGGAAAGGACGATGGTGTGTTCACAGCTGGTCATTCCTTGAGGCTGGTGTGTAAAGAGTCACTTAGCTGATGAATGAGCCTGACTGACTGCCCACCCCTCACCATGCTCTTCTTCTTCACCTGAGAAGTTGGAAGCATCACATCTGAGAGGGGAACAGACTCCCATGGGATGGCAGTGGCTTATGGCTAAGGGGCCTTGTGGCTTCCTGTCATCTTCCTGCTTTAGACCAAAATCCCAGAGATTGAACTCAGAAATGTAGGAGGTTTTAAACAGAAAAGGTGCTTCAACCCCCCTGAAAACCAGTGTAAATAAAACTAGTTCCTATAATGCACAGACGCGTGTCTTGGAAACAGGGACGGACACACGCCTATGGTGGGCCTCCCCAGTGCTTTCACCTGCCATAGCACTGTGACCATCCATGGAGGTCTCAGAGCAAGTAGACCACCCTGGCCCTCATGGAATAGGATTGCCATTTTGCTGGATGGACAACATGGACAGAAAGGTCCTTGAAGACTTCTAAGACAACTCTGGAAGAGCAGGGATTCTGAAATTTCAGCTGTGGGCTATTGCTATAGATGGGCACATGGGACACCATGGCAGAAGAACCACATGTCTAGCTCCCCCTGGGGCCTTGTGCCCTGGGGACTCCAGGCTTTCTTGGGCCAGCTGAGCCAGGCAGAGGATATGACACCAGGGTGACGTTCCTCTGGCTCTTCACCAACAGGAAATCCTTCCAGTCCAGAAGCCGCTCCCTGGAGAGGGAGGGAAACTGGAAGATGAGCTTCTGTGCAGAGGCCTGCCCACCCCCTGCTCATGTATGCCACCCTCACTTACCTCATGAGTTTCTGGGCTTGCTCCTGCAGGTGCTGGGGCAGGTGAGGGCCTCCCCTGCCGGGGGCAGTGGCCAGGAAGCTGAGCCGGTAGATGGCACACAGCTGTCTCTTCAGCTTTCCACAGGCCTGGAGCAGCCTGGGCCGTGACACCGAGGGAAAGACACACAGGGCCTCTGGCCACCCCCCCCCCCAACACCCTCCCACTGCACTGGGAGGCAGCTGCCTAGCTTTCCCTAGGGGTGTTCTTTGCCACACAGCATCTCCTTGAACCCCATCGTTTTGCTAATACGTGGGAATGTGACTGGCCTTATGTGGTGCCTGCTCAGTGCTGCATTCGGGTACAGCCCAGGCCTCAGTGCTTGGCATTAGGTTCTCATGTTCCTGGCCTTCATTCCCCTCCAACCTCCCATGGTCTGGTCCTAGCTCCCTGAGACTCCCTCTCTGTCATTTGCAAATCTTCTGTCCCCCAGGGCCTGGGGAGACCCTGCAGCAACTCCCTGTGAACAACTCCCCTTCACCCCAAGTGTGGCTACTCACTCCCAGGATGATCCTGCTTCACTTCTAGAGAAGGCCTTGGTCTTAAACTCCAGCCAGGAGCTCTGTAAAGAAGAGTAACAGGTATGTTCCAGGCTGTGTTCTGCAGGGAGGTCAAGGGAGACTCCGTCTACACCCTGACCCTCCAGGAACACCTGCCCTCCTGCCGTCAAATCTGGCCTTCCCGGCAGTCACTTAGCAGGGCATGATGTAAAGAGCAAGTGAGGGTCACGTGGCCTTGACGGGCACAGACATGCACCCATCAGAGGGACTAGGCAAGTCCCTCAAGGGAACATAGCAAGCTAGGGGACCGAAGAGAAGCAGCTGCTGCAGGTGGCCTGGGGATGGGTTGGGGTAGCCTCAAGGGGATTCTGGCTGGCTCTTTCCAAAGTGAGAAGTCAGCATTATATTATAACAGCTGTGCCACCATGATGTCCAGGGCATCTGGGATACCGTGCTGTCTGCCGACAAGCCACCACGATGCCCAGGGCATCCGGGATACCGTGCTGCTCGCCAACAAGCCACCACAGTGCCCAGGGCATCCTGCCGACAAGCCAGGGCTCCGGTTACTTGCTCTCTCCCCGCTAATCCTTCTGCCCCTTTCAGACCAACACATATTCCAGCTCCTCAAACAGACTCGGGCAGAGCCAGCTACAGCAGAGGCCCCAAACTGTCAGTGAGCCTTCTATTCTAGAACTCTGCCACTTTGAGGAGGTCTTGGTGGGAGCCTGTGATGGCCTGGTCACTGATTTCCCTACATGCTCAGTGCTTGGTCTCAGTCTCCACCCAGCTCTACTCTCCTTGAGGCCAGCTGGGAGAGTGCCCCGTGATGGGCAGGTTCTAGCGCCACTGCTCATGGGCTGGCTACTCCTGGCTACATCATGGCCATCTAAGCAAGCCTGTGTCCTGTCTAAAGCACTGGAGTTACACTTTGAGTTCCGCTAAATTCCTATAAAGAGGTTCTGACAATGTGAAGTCCAGCTATTTGTTTTTTATTATTTAATAAGGATAACTAGGGCCATAGACTGAGGCGAACATGGACGGGAACCAGAGCTGTGTGCCCCTCATCTACCGGGGATGAACTGGGCCCCCTGCCAGCTCCGCTTCTTCTCCAAAGCTGGGTGCATGCAGTATCCGGGTCCCACCTGAATCTCCTGTCCAACCCGATTCTTGATAAACTTGTCCATCTTCTGGCGCAAGTCTCCAACAAAGGGCTGGGACCGCAGGGCACTTCCAGGCTCCTGACCCTCCTTCAGCTTTTTCTCCAGGAGGGAGAAACCATCCAGCAGTTGGTACAGGACCAGGGCCAGTGGTGTGTTGGAACTCTGCCAGGAAGAGTGGATGCCAGGGTGGAATGGGGTACCCAGTGAGAGGCCAGGCAGGCCCCGAAAGCTCTAGGGTGGGACAGCGGCTCTGTACCTTGGTCAGCAGCACCATGTTGATGCCCGGCCACAGGGGCAGGCAGTACATGGTGTGAGGCACTAGGGGACAGTAGCTTTCTTTCACATTGGCATCCAGGAAGATCCTTCTGGGGCTGGACGGTTCTGGGGAGTGTGGCACCAGCCCCTGGAGGGTGTTCTCAGCCATCTGTGGAGGAAGAAGACCTGTCAGTCTGGTGGAAGAAAGGCCCAGGTTCTTCTACAACTTGGACTCCCCACCCATGGCTTCCATCCCTTGCCCAACCTCTAAGTAACATGGAACAAACAAGTTTAGCTCCCAGAACACCCAGCCCTGAGGTCTCCATGCTGCTGAGGCTGCCCTAGCAGCTCCCATTCTCTCTGCTATCTGCCTCTTGGCTTCTGCTGGGCTGTTCTGTCCAATCAGGACTGCATGCCATGATGGGCAGTGGGGGTGGGGGGTGCGGGAGCTGGGTGAGTAGTCAAGGGCCATCTGAAGAGACACAGAGCCGGGTGGGAGAAAGCTCTGCCTTCAGGGAGAGGAAGGAACTTGTTAAATGCTTGACGTTTCAGTCACCCTCAGAACATTGCAACGGCCCTCCACACTGGGGAAACTGAGGTATAAAATGACTATATGAACAGGACTCCAGCCTGAGGTGGGGGCAAAGGGACTCTGCATGCATAAGAAATCTTTTAGCAAGAAAAATTAGAGAATTGAAGAAATCACGAGAGACAGCACAAACATTTCTCTGTAAGAAGGTCAGTTTAGTTATCTACAACAATAAAAAGTGGGAGCCATATGCTGATTGTTCTGGGTCTTGCTGAATAAATAGAAACATACGCGTGGATGGACTCTCCAAACACCCTCACAAGCTGTAATGTTGGAGGGCTCTGTGCGGACAGGAGAACGCTAGTAAAAAGGAGAAGGAAGTATGGTAGGCTCCAAGTGTGACAAAGAAAAATGCATACAGTACGCATACATGTTCCTGCAGTGTGTGCATGAGTGTGTGTGTGTGTATATGTGTGCATGAGTGCAGTGTGTGTACACGTGTGTGTGTGCATGAATGCATGTGTGTGTGTGTGTGCATGAGTGCATGTGTGTGTATGTGTGCATGAGTGCATGTGTGTGTGTGCGTGTGTGCATGAGTGCATGTGTGTGTACACGTGTGTGTGCATGAGTGCATGTGTGTGTGTGTGTGCATGAGTGCATGTGTGTGTACACGTGTGTGTGTGTGTGCATGAGTGCATGTGTGTGTACAAAATAATAAATGGTTAGAAGGCAGCACCTAAAACATTTTTCATCTTTGAGGGTGGGACTGAGTATCACTTCCATGTTTGACTATTGTTATTTCTCATATCTAAATAGAAGAAAGATATCTAAACTTTAATTTTTCAGTATTAACACTTCAGTTGGACTTTCACTTCCACGTGGGGGCGGTCACCTACACCACTCTCCCCAGCCCTGATTCCATGCTGAGCTGCACTAGAGAGCCCCGAGGAGACAGCGGTGCAGCTGTGGCTGGTGGAGTTCCCCAGGAGGGAAACCCCAGCCCTCAGCATCTCAGAGCAGCGGTGCCCAGGGGGACACAGGAGACTCACCGGAAGAACATCGGTGGGTGGGGTGCCACCATCCAGCCAGAGGATGCTACCTGTCACAAATGGGAACAGAACTGTGGAAATACTACAAGAGTGTAAATGACCCCACAGCCCCATCTCCCACTCCCGCAGCTTAGGGGGTCTGGATCACTGACAGTTCAAGCCATTTAGCCCCAAACACTGGGTATGGCAAGGCTGTTTCCTGTGGCTGTAGCCCCAGAAAACCATTCCCTCAGAGCTCTCCAGTGCCAGCTGAACTCTGCATTTCCAGGGTTAAAGTAGCGGGGGACAGAAGCTTCCTGCTGGGAACTAAGCCTGTGGTAGGTATCTGGACACAGGGTGGGTGGTGGGGTGGTGGCGGTGGATGGGTAGGTGGGGTGGCACATTCCTCAGACCCTCCCTTGCCCCCAACCCCCTCCTTGTTTCTGCTCTCTATTCCTTCAGGTTGCCCCACATAGAGAGCCAGAATTTCCCCATTCAGTTATTCACACACCAAGCTTGCTGAGCGCCGTTGTGTGCTGGGGATTGAGCCTGATTTCCTTCCTATGGGGCTCACCAGCCTATTGAAGCCACTATATGTTTGAAATATTACATGTTTGTAATATTATCCTTTCTTGCACTTCATTGCAAATAACCCTCATTTATAAGCAGCCCCCCCCCCCCCCCCGGGTGGCTCTGCTTCAGAGCTATGCATAATGCTCTGGCATGAACGAACTCCCAGTTTACAAATGACTTGTACTGCAGTCATCCATTTGTAAATCAGGTGTTTGAAACCTAGGGACGCACTTGCTCCATTTGTATGCTGGGAGTTCCGGGCATGTCAGAACATGATGATCAGCACTGAGGCCCAGAAACCTAGCCACCCAGAAAGGGGGTGGTGGTGGTGCAGGGGAGGGTCGCGATAGACAAGGAAATAATTCTAAGGTGGTATGTCATGAAGGCCAAGGCCATGCAAAGCCTGCAATCATACCTTGAGTCATGGGATATTTAGTAAAGCTGAACGTGGCTAGGAACCCTCCCCCAGAAAAAAAGCTCAAGCATATGAATTCTGTAATCTCTGGGTCTCCCAGGTGCCCTGAAGCCCAGTCCAGACCTAACTAAGGCTCCTAAGAACACCTAACTCAGTGTGCTCAACTTCAGCCATATGTGAAAATCTCTTAGGGTCCTTTGTAAGAAAACCCTGCACAGCTCGGCCTAATGAAGTCAGAATCTCGCACCAGCTCGGCTTAGGTGGATTGCGAAGATGCCCAGGGCAGTCCAGCTGTAGGTGGGGATAGAATCACTGGTCCAGCCCAGTGCACACCACAGGTTCCCTTCCAGGCACACAGGGCTCACCTGTACCCAGGTCTGAGGACTGCCTCAGCTGTGCTGAAGCTGGCTAGGGATGCTAAGCGCAGCTAGGGCTGAGAGCCACTGGTCTAGGGAAGGCAGACGGCAAACTCTTACAAGAAGAGTCCCCAATGTGTCTTTTCCACAAAGCCGGCCTTCTGTCAGCTGGGTGAGCCACAGGGTCCCGCCTTTTATCCTAAGAACTTGGTTCTTTCCTGGTGATGGCGACAGCCTGGCTTTTGGCCTTTCTCCTCCTCTAAGCAAGGCTGTGTATTCAAATGCCCATTTGATTATTAATAGTGTTAATTTTACTACTTACTCACGGATCTTGGAAAAACAGGTTAAAAAAAAAACCAAAAAAACAAAAAACAAAACACTGGCCGGGTGGTGGTGGTGCACGCCTTAATCCCAGTACTTGGGAGGCAGAGGCAGGCAGCTCTTTGTGAGTTTGAGGCCAGCCTACTCTACAGAATGAGTTCCAGGACAGGCTCCAAAGCTGCATGGAGAAACCCTGTCTAGAAAAAAAACTAAAAACACTGAAACTGAATATTTACACTCTGAAATGTGCTTGAACCCAAGTGGTCTACTGTTTAATTTTACTTACTAACTTCAATATTAATTATAATGAAGACAGAGGAGGCAGAGAGAACTCACACATGCAGTTGTAAGTGAAGTATACAGAGCTTTGGGGATCATCTGCACGATCTTAGCAGTGTTTGAATTCAAGCTGGGGTTGACAGGGAGGCCTTGCCGACAGAGCTGAGTAATAGCTGAGTTTGTGCTTAGCCCTTCCCAGAGAACGAGGAGAAACTGACCCCCAAGACACATGCTCTAGGATGCAGACTGGCTTCTGTCCCATGATGCCACCCATCCACGCCATGGGCTTCACCTGAGCTCTGCTCGCCTGGGGAAGGAGCAGGCGTGAAGTACTCCTCAGGGAGGGAGATGCTGTCTGTGTCCTGGGAAAGAAGACATCACATTAGATGAGGGTCAAAGGCCAGGTGGCTTCTTCCAACTGCTTCAGCTGGGCCTGCTCTTGGGGTGGGGAAAGTTGGAAAGGCCTGGCCTGGCCTGAGACAAGATGGGGCTACACTCTTTCCTCCCAGCACCCAGCACATACCGTCTCCTCAGAATTCCTGGTAGGGCCCGAGGTGCTCTGGCTCCTAGCCTGCTGCATTGGGATGTTTTGGCTGCTCAGGGGTCTCCTCTGAGGGAAAGGCTGTGAGAAGTCCAGGGTAATGCAGTCAGTGAGGTTGATCTGGCTGCTCCCACAGCCCTGACACCCAGTTCCTTACAGAAGCCCTCCTCTCCACTCTGCTCTATGAGCTAGCCTGGGGACATGGCCCTCTAGCTGTCCAGGGTGATCTGAGCCTGGAAATTTTGATGTGTTGGTATCTGAACCAGCACAACCTGGTACCACTGATGAATGATAATATGGCTAATATGATGCCAGGCGCTGTTAGGCACTACATGGCCTGTCTCCTTTACGTCTTAGATTCCTGCATAAGTGACACCACCATGTTCCCAGCATCCCCACTGCACAAGTAAGGGACTCTAGGCTCTAAGATGGCAAGCTCTTGTGTGCTCATCTCACACAGCTAAGTGGAAAATCCAAGTATCAAACCAGGGCCAGCTTCTCAGATCTACACAACCCTCTAGACTACCCATTCCAGAATTCTTCCATCTTAGAGTCGGAGGACAAATGCCCCCTTGTTCTCCTTGTGCCACCCTGAGACCTGAGGGCTGTCGTCATCATTCTCGTCCTCCTCTGCGGTGCCTTGGGTGGACTGGAGGTCCTGAACCAGAAGGATAAGTGCCAGGAGATCTGCCGGGCGCAGGGTGCTTGCACCGTGGCTGCAGAGACAGGGCAGGGCAGCCTGTGAGCATGCAACCTCAATCTTGCTGGATATACAAGGTCTAAAGATTAGCCTATCAATTGTTAAAATCAAAGGTGTATAATAAACAAAAATTATCACTAGGGAGGCCCCAGGGACCAGCAATAGACTCCAAGCGTTGGTTAGAACCAACCCCAAGAAGGGAGTGGGCTGAGGTTTGAGACCTGAGCCTGGGACAGATCCAGGCTGTCAAGGTCCTGCAGACAAGGATCAGGAAGGGTTTTGGCTAAGGTCAGGCCCTCAGGGTTACCTGGAGTAGAAAGCCAGCAGTTTGCAGTGCACAAGCAGGAAGGCATGCTGGGCCTCCTCACTGCCCCGCTCAGGGCTGGAGTTGACAGCCTGAACCACGTGTCGCTCGAGCGTCTCGATGCTCAGTTCACAGAGCTGGGGGTGAATCAGCCGCTCCACTGCCTAGCCAGGGGTTGGCAGTGAAGGAAGTCAGTGTGTCAGCCTGTACTGGATGGTACATTCCCTTAGCCCACAGGACGCTTAACGCTAGATGCCGGGTATGGGAAGTTGGGGGACTAAGATGGCCAAGGTCAAGCCTGCCTGGGTCCAGGCTCTAGTGGAGGCAAACAATGCACAGGAAACATGGAAAACCAACTGTAGTGTGTGCCAAGCAGGAACACACGATACTGAACTAGAGAGGAGTAGCTGAGACCCACTGGAATAGTGTTAAACGAAATGTCCCTGAGGAGATGACCTTTAAACTAACATAGAAGGGACCAGAAAGCCTGCCAGATAGAGCAGAGAAGAAGCAAAAGGCAGTGAATACAAAGGCATGAGATAGACAGTCTGGAGAAGTACTGTCCAAATGAAGTAGAAGGCAAATCCTATGAACAGTTAAACCATTTCTCAGGGCCGGCAAGACGGCTCAGTAGATAAATGTGCCTGCTAAGCCTGATAAGCCACGTTTGGCCTCTGGGAGCCACACAGCGGGAGGACAGAACTGATTCCTACTAGTTGCTCTGACCTTCACTGGCACGCGATGGTACCCTGCCCATACCCACCCATCCATCCATACACACAAAATAAGCCAATGTAAAAAAGTGCAAAGATTTTCACAAAATATTACTGACATAATATAAATGATGACGTATAAAGGCATCGGATCCATTGTACTGCTATCAAAGCTTGGTTACATTACACACCCAGCAGAGCTGAGTCTGGACCAGCTGCATCTCACATGTGCAAAAGCTACAAGCACATTATGCAGCGCTAGACACAAGGATTCCAGGGACTGACGGATGGCCCATGTCACCGTTGTATAGTGAGAGAAGCCTGTTAGGAAGGTGGGTCAAGATGGACAGAGCCTCCAGGGTCCGGGGGGCTTGGGGAGGGGTTTGGATTTCATCTTAACTGCACCAGGCCTCTTTCTGCAGCAGCCTTTCCTGGCGCCCAAGAGAGGCTCTGCCACAGATTTTGATGGACAAGGTAATATGGCACCAGGCCGTATTTAGACTGTATGTACACCTGGTTTCCTCTTAAGAGCAGGAGGTGTCTTTAGACATCACAGTCTGGCCCATCTTCTGGCACACAGTAGGTCCATTTCTTGGCAGAGTGAATGAGCAGGGCTCTGAAAATGAATGCTTTCAGATCCATTCCCAGTTTACAAACTCTCTTCAGCCATGTCTCACCTGCTCTTTGGCACGGCCTGAATTGCTTCGCCAATCAGCTTTCACGTCTACACTGCCTGCTAGAGTTCTTTTTTAAATCTGCCTGGCCATTTTGGAATTTTTTATTATTTCTATTTGTGGTGTTACTTTTCATGTCTTTAATTTTTTAAAAAGATTTATTTATTTATTATGTATACAGTGCTCTGTCTGCATGTGTCCCTGAAGGCCAGAAGAGGGCACCAGATCTCATTATAGAAGGTTGTGAGCCACCACGTGGTTGCTGGGAATTGAACTCAGGTCCTCTGGAAGAGCAGCCAGTGCTCTAAACCTCTGAGCCATCTCTCCAGCCCCACCTTTAAAAGGTTTATTTTGTTTTTTTAATCTAGTAATTCCAACTCCTTGGTATCCAAACCTGTTGGTAATTGATTGCCTGATGTCTTGACTCTCACTTATGGTGGCTTATTTTCTTGTGTATCTGACTATCTTAAACTATGAGCACATTTTACACACACACACACACACACACACACACACACACACACGCACACGCACACGCACACGCACACACACACGCACACGCACGCACACACACGCACACATGCAGACACACACACATACACACACACAAACAGAGACAGAGACAGAGAGAGACAGAGACAGAGAGAGGCAGAAGCAGAGACAGACAGACAGACACACCCTCTAATTTAGTGGTTTTCAAAGAATAATGAGACTGCAGAGTATCACTGGGCACTTGTTAGAGCTGAAACTCCGCTGAACAAGACCCTGTGTGGATGAGGACTACCTTGCCCTTAATGAGCCCACGTGCTCACTCTAACGAATGCCATGAGTGAGAGACACAGAGGGACCCTGTGTTTGTCCTCAAGGGAGTGGCGGAGACGACTGACCAAAGCCACCTGCCTCACTTGCTGTTTCTGTTCACTGCTTTCCACTCCAGTTTAAGGTCAATGTAGTTCCTCCCTGGGATGAATGAGGTCAAAGAGGCCATTTTCAGAGGGTTCTGTGATTTACAGTGAGCCCCAAATATTGCCCTCAAACTCTCACCCAGAATCGAGTTGCTCACTATGGGAAGAGTACCTAGCCTACTGCATGGGCAGAGAGAACAGGACAATTGGGAGAATTTCGGGGTCCACCTGTCCTCCTGCCCACCATGGTCTTGCAGCTGGGCACCCCCGGTGACCTAACACCCCTGAGGCCTGACACCCTTAAGGCCCCTGTCACCTCCACAGCAAAGCTCTGCTCCTGTTCCCTCAGGTGGCTGTAGGTCCCCAGCAGCCCCTGAAAGTGTTTCCACACCCGGGCACGCTGTTCCAGGTCAGGGGGACGAAGCCTGGGGAAGAACCGGGGAGAGCAGGGGTCAGTGAAAAGCTGGTCATCTCCAGACCCGATCCAAGGACCCTGTCCCAGGTCAGCATCAGACACCTAAGTGGTCAGGCCAACAGTGCACAGAGAGGCTGTGAGCTTGGGCAGGGAGCCAGGACTCAGGCAGCCAGAAGGAGGCAGGAAGGCACCTGCATTTCCCAGGCTTCTCATCTCCACAGGGCTCCGTAAACAGACGACCTAGCCTAAAATCAGGTTTAAACTCGGGGTATTAGCCAGCACTACCACTGTGGCTGTCAGGCACCCATGGCTATAACTATAGTCTGTGTCATTGACCCCGCGGCCACGAGGGCTAAAATGATCCCTGAAAACAATGACAGTGGACCTAGCAGTGCCTCAGCGATGACCATGTGCTCACATCCCTTCAAAACTCAGGACACAGCATCTCACACCACGTGACTTTCCCATTCATGTTAGTGGGTCAGGCAATCCCGCTTCTTTCTCCTTGGGGTCCACGTCTCAACCCACCCTTCGCCACGGTCCTTTCTCGCTCATGAATGCTGTGAAGTATGGCGCCATTCTCAGCCACTGAGGCGATTCGTATAGGCCCAGTACGTCACAAGGTTGGGGGGGACTGCATATTTTTCTGTAGCGAGTTCAAATGGCTGCTCTGAGAAGTCAGAAGGGATACGCTAATACCCCTTGTAAGGACAGAGTACTGATGCTGGGAAGCCCCAGGCTGGGAGAGCTGGATGCTGCCACTAACCAGCTAGGTGGTGCTGGGGAGGTCTAAATTCTCTGCCCAGTTTCCCCATCTGCAAAATGAAATCAGAGCAGATGCTCTCCAAGGCCCTTCTGAGCTCTGCTTCTACGGCCTGACTCGGCAGAAGAACTGATGAGGCCAATGACTCACTCCTTCCGGATGAGCTGGCCGTCCACAGTCACCAGCCCGAAGTGCACCTCGAACAGGTACTTGAGCACGCACAGCTTCCTCCGGAGGTCCCCCTCGCTCTCACTGTGATCTCCACTGATGGCGATGAACAGGCACTCTCCAAACTGTGGACACTCACGTAGCGTCAGTTGGTCCCCTGGGGACTCCCTTCGCCTTCCGGGTTTCAGAGGATAATTAAGGGGAGGGTGAGGCCCAGGGGACTCTACTAAGCTGCAGTTTCTGCCTTCTAAAGAGCTGTACAGTCCAAGGTAAGAAAGTGGCATCGGGGCTCCCAAGGACTGGACAGGCGTGGACTGTGGGTGCATTGAGAGCTGCAGGGTCATATACTTACCAGATGCAGGACGTACAGGTGGCTGTCATTTTCCGTTGAGAAGCTGGTGTATGTGTCTGAGAGCTTCTCCAGCATCGTCATGGAGGAGATGATGATCGGGGCCAGGAGGGTGCTGAGCTGGTCCTCCAGTGCAGGGAGCTGCAGGAGAGGGAGAGCAGAGCACGGCCTACCCTGCAGGGGTGTCTGACATTTCGACACTGGTATGATGTCTACAAACAAAGTGGGACCCATTCATAGCTTGGACAAGCCTGAAAGTGTGCCAGATGCTGGGGACAAAGGAACAAACAAGACCCAGGCCTTACAGCAAGAAACCCACAGGGTTAGACCTGCCTGAGGGACCACGACAGCCCTGATGGGGAAGGCAGGAGGTGAGACTGCTCCCGACCTTGTGTGGTGCCTAGGAGGCTGGGCTCACCCTAGTGACTGCGTGGCTCAGGGTCCAAACCCAGAAGGAAACAGTCAAGTAGGTATGTCTGACCGCATTCACAGGCCACGTGCACCCAAAGAGAAGCTATCAGCGCAGCCCAACACAAACCCACAAATTTGCTTAAACACATGAGGGTAGTTTGGGTGACTTTTTTTCTTCTGTAACTCAACTGAATGGTTTTCAAGCATGACCTTTGCAGATACTCCTGCAGATACGCTGTTAGGAGGTTGAACAAACCTGCAAGAACTTGAGCCACATTTCCCCCATCGAATGCTCGGAGCATTTAACTGAGAACTCAGTGACCCCAAGGAAGTCTCTTAGACATATCAAAGTCTATGCCATCTGCAGACATGAACTACTTCAGGGACTTTATCCCAAGAAAACAAATATGTGTGCACAAGAGCATTCACAACAGCAACGTGCAATTTCAAACAACTGGGAAAACAGAGAAATGTCCAATCCTAGAGAAACAACTAAATAAGTAATACATCTAAACCACAGTTTCTTAAACTGGAGGTCACAATATGACACAGGTTTGACTAACCAAATAAACGGTTTGCAAAATATTTGGCAACGGTAATACGGTTCTGAACGTACAACCATCAAAAACTAATACAAAATAGAAAGTCTAAAGGATCAAAGGAAGCACTGGTCCTAACTACCAGTGTGCTCTCTGCTTCTCACACCATTGTATCACAAAGCACCGATGAACACAGCCTTTAAACACCTCGCTCCAGATTTGAGACTACTCTATGTTATGGATTTTAGACTTTTTACACCAGTCTTCTGTTTTTACAGAAACATAAATGATTTACTCATGGAAGACAAAGACTTAATATTTCTTATTGCCATTCCTGTGCATATAATAAATTAGTGTATCTCAAACCATATTGTGTTAGAATATTTGATTTAAAAAAAAGATATTTCAGTGGTTGACTTTAATTTCATAAAAATAACTTGATAAATTTTGATTTGGGTGTAGGCACAATTATAAAAAATTTGAGAAATGGCAGAATAATAGAAATACTTCTACTATTTGATACCAATGTTTAGGTGAAGTGCTGTTCTCAGGATCGACAATTATAAAGTCACAATATCAATCAGCTCAGAAATACTGAAGATGGTTCATGTGCTGCAATACCAAACAGTATGGGAAAGCTATTAGTTTTTTTTTAAAAAACATTTATTTTATTTTAAACTCTGTGTGTGTGTGTGTGTGCGCGCGCGCGTGCACGCGCACATGCACGTACGTGAGCCAGTACATGTGCAGGTGCCTGCAGAGGTTAAAGAGGGCACCAGACACCCCGGAGCTGGAATTACAAGTGGATGTGAGCCGTCACTGAGGGTGCTGGACCTGAACTCAGGTCTCTAAGGCAGCAGTAAATGCTCTGAATACTGGGCCACGTCTCCAGCCCCAGGTTTCAGTCTTTTGTAAAAGTAAACAAGTACACCATGCCATTAGTGTTTAATGTTGCTTTCCTCTTTCATTAATGAATTTAAATGTATACAAATAAACTGTTCAAAAAATTTTTTTAAGGATGTATTATCAGCAAGCGCCTGGTTCCACATTTTACACCTATACGTCAGGGACCATGGAAAAATTTCTGTGGTGAAAAGAAGTTGCAGTTAGAAAGTTTATGAGGTTCTTAGCTAAGTGATGAAGAATCCATCTAGCTACTTAAAATATTATTGTTTCAACAACACAGGGAATTCCTCTGACACAGTGTATATGCTAAAAGGATGTGAATGCTCTATATTTTAAAATGCATAGAAATAGACAAAGTATTGAAAAGCACAAAGAAACCCAACACCATTCAAGCTATTACTTCTGGATAAAGAAATTATGAATGACCCCCCTCCCCCGTTGTGTACTTGCTCTGTTCCCTAACAAGCACGTGTTTACGTGGGCAGACTCTTCTTCCTCATTCCCACTCCTCCTCCACCCTTCCCCAGTAGAAGAAGGGAACCGTGGATACCAGAGTCTGTGAAAACACCAGAGGAAGCCCCGCAAAGACTCCAGTTCCACCCTCGGTGCTGGGGTGAAGAGAAGGGAGGAAATGGCTGGCCTTGCTGATTCCACAAGACTCAAAAGCTCCTTGCAGGAAGAGCGCTGAAGTACACAAAGAGCTGAGGAACCCCTCACCTTGCAAACAGAACCAAGCTACTCACTGGCTGGTGAGTAGCAGTGGCTCAGAGAGGGATCAGGCACTTTCCTTGTCAACCTTCCCATCGCTCAGGAAGCCGGGTCTGGGTGCCAGTTTGGGCTACCCACTCTGTCACTGGCAGTCCACAGCCTGTTCAGTTCTGACTGCTGGTAGAGATCGGCCTGCACTCCTGGGGTTTACTCAACCTACAGTTCACTGTTCATGGTGCCTCCCTGGATCCTACGTTCCCGAGAGCAGGAACTACATTGCAATACTTGCTGCTATACTTGTAGAGGCCAGCAAACTTCAGGCTCTCAGTATTTGGTAAACGATTGCACCCTAACACAGGTAGGAACAAACGCTTGCAATTTATTCAAATTCTATTGTTTTCTTCAACTGTCACAAATTATATTGAAAGTCATTATAAAAATCTAGACTGAGTGCAGTAACTCATCTACAGGTAGTAGCTCGCTCTTCCTTCCTTCCTTCCTTCCTTCCTTCCTTCCTTCCTTCCTTCCTTCCTTCCTTTCTTTCTTTCTTTCTTTCTTTCTTTCCTTCCGTCCTTCCTTGTTTTTTTCGAGACAGGGTTTCTCTGTGTAGTTTTAGTGCTTGTCCTGGATCTCGCTCTGTAGACTTGGCTGGCCTCGAACTCACAGAGTTCTGCCTGGCTCTGCCTCCTGAGTGCTGGGATTAAAGGTGTGTGCCACCACTGCCCTGCAGTAGTAGCTTTTTCTTTGTTTCTTTCTTTTTTTTTAAATTTAAATTTATTTATTTATTATGTATACAGTGTTCTGCTTGCGTATATCCCTTCAGGCCAGAAGAGGGAGACAGATCTCATTACAGATGGTTGTGAGCCACCATGTGATTGCTGGGAATTGAACTCAGGACCTCTGGAAGAACAGCCAGTGCTCTTAACCTCTGAGCCATCTCTCCAGCCCCAGTAGTAGCTTTTTCTATTGAGAATATTTTGTGGTGAAAGGAGACCAAAAATTTTCAATATATACAGAGTATAAAGGAATATTCTTATATTGATAAATTATAAAGTGTGGAAACGGTTTTGAATGGCTTTTAACTCATTTTTATTTCTAGAAATAATTGAATCAAATAGTTGGATAAAGTTCAAGCACAAATGACTGTTCCCCACAGTGACAGCTATCTAGGATATACATATATGTGTGTGTGTGTGTGTGTGTGTGTGTGTGTGTGTGTGTGTGTGTGTGCGCGCGCATGTGTATGTATATGTGTGTGTATATGTTTATACATATGTATATAAATATCTTTATATATTTAGAGAAGTAGTTTAATGATGATATATTTATTCATTCATTTAGATATAATGGTACCATTAAGAATTATGCTTTGGGGTTCATTTAACAAAATGCAAAAGTGATTTCATATAATGAAGTGAAAAAATTCAAAAAATGAAACTGTAAATGTGGTATGACCCCCACTATATAAAAGATAAAGACCCAAAGCAGGAATGTCAAGGAGCTAATGGTGCCAGGTGATGGGATTATGAGTTATTTAAAACTACTCTGCGCTCTCAGGTTCCCTATAACAACTGCTATCCCGGAGAAACTCAGTATGGCACACACACAGACAGAACTTGAGGACGTGTTCCTTTACACTAGCTGTTTAGGAACTGAAAACGTGGGACTTTGTTCTCGTACCAGGTTTTAATTAGGAGGAAGAACTGAAATATTTCTTATAAATTCTTAAAGACTAGAGGCTAAAGATTAGATATGTTGACTTTTAAAAATGGAAGTGTCAATGATATGAGCCTCGTTTTTAATTTAGAAAATCATCCGAATGTCCATGGTCTCCCAAGTTTTGTTTTCTCTTAACTAAGGACAATGGCATCAGTGGCTGATGGTGAGGGTGATGTGGCCAGCGAAGGGGGGAAGTTCAGCCAGGCCTTAGTCTCACCCCTGGGTCTGGGGAGCAGCTAGATTGTGCTGCCAGGAAATGCAAGAATGGCTTGATCATTGCAACACTAATAAAAAAAATTTAATCCAAAATCAACCCTGAAAAAATGCAATATAAATGACTCTTATGTAGAATGGAAATTATATAAGAGAATATGGCAGCCATTTCTAAGTGATACTAAATAATTATATAAGAGAATATGGCAACCATTTCTGAGTGATACTAAATAAAATGGATGTCCATATACAGAAAAGCTTTCAGTCATACTTTATACTACATTCAAGTCTAAAAAGGGTCATTAGGTCTAATATAAAATCCAACAGAGGTTGTTGAGCTACCTAGTGAGATCTTGTCTGGGCAGAAATAGGGGCTGGAGGTGGTTTGGTAGATAAAGATGCTTGCTGCCAAGCCTGACGACCTGAGTTTGATCGCCAAGATGGTAGAAAGAAAGACCGACTTTCCCAAGTTGTCCTCTGACCACCACGTATGGGCTGTGGCATGTGAACACATTTGCATGCATGCACACAAATAAATATACAAGTTAAGCAACAATAAAAATAACAAAACTCCCAAACCAAAAGAAACCCCAAACTATACAAATTCCAGAAGAAGATATGGGGAAAATTCTTTGTGATCTTCAGTTAGGCGAAGATTTCTTAGACATGTCACCAAAAGCATGATCCGTAATTGCAAAAATGGAAGACTGTGCTGTCGGAACTAAAAACATGGCCCTTTGAAGGGACTCTTTTTTTTGCCCTAAGCCTTTAAAAGAAGCTTTTATTTATTTTGTAGTATGTGCAAACAGGAAGCACAACACAAGAAGCCAAGAACAAAGTCACCGAGTCACAGCAGCTCAGCTTTGCTTGTGCTTCTAGATCCTGCAAGTGTACGTGCATTTAGGGAACTGAGATTATACAGCATGTACCATGCTTTCCCCCACACTGTGAATATTCACCAACTAAAACCCCATGCTACAGGAGTATTTTGATAACCAAGAATACACCATGCCATCTCAATCTGTCAGACAAAATTGTAATCCTGTCTTCCTTGGCAACAAAAATTTCATTGAAGACAAACATGGCAGTGGGTCTCTAGACAGAAGGACTGGCAAAGTTACAATTAAAATTCTGCATCTCTCAATGCTCAGCTGACGAGGAAACACAAAGCCACAGACTGCAGAGTACAGCCTTCCTGAGTTTATCATCAGATCTATATACTAAAATATGAGGAAGGTGTGTTCCTGCTCAATAAACAAATTCCTATGGAGTAGCTGAAGGTTACCTATGACAGGGCTTCTCAGGATGTCAATCTCAACACAGCACAGAGCTGCAGATCTTGCCCTATGAGCCTCTCTCTGCCCCTCCACAGTCGGCCTAGCAACATGAATGAACTCACACTGTCCAGACATGGCTTAACAACTGTATGTTCAAGAGGAGTCTGTTCTGTCAATCTGTCAAACTATCCTTTTAACCATATGCTCTCCTTTAGGACATTCATAAAGTTCAGATGTTGTGGAATGAACTTGTGCACAATAAACACAAGTCTCTTCACAGAAATGCACATATGGATCCCTGGGTACAGTTGTAACTGTCTTCTAGATGTGGTGGTCCTAGCAGAGAGTTCTTCCCTCATCCATCCTCTTCTCTGCACAACTCCAGTTCAGGATGATTCTAGTGAGAGCATCACAGAGGTCACCCCCAGGAGACAGCCCTTTTTGAAGGCACTCTTAAGAGCACGTGCAAACAAGCCATAGCCTGAGAGGAAATATCTGCAAAAGAGATCTAATAAAAGACATGTTCAAACTACGTAAGAAATTCTGAAAATTCAGTATGAACAACTTGAGAAAACTGATCTGTTGTGGGATATTTGTACACTGTGTGAAGATATATTGTGTGATTGGTGTAATAAAGAGCTGAATGGTCAATAGCTAGGCAGGAGGTATAGGTGGGACTTCTGGGCACAGAGAGAGGAAGGAGGAGATAGTCAAGGCTCAGGGGAGATGCCAGGAGACACAGAAGAAGCAGGATGGACAGTGTATGACAGAACATAGATTAATAGAAATGGGCCAATTCAAGTTATGAGCTAGTTAAAAAACAAGCCTAAGCTAAGGCCGAGCTTTCATAATTAATAACGTCTCTGTGTCATTATTTGGGAGCTGGCAGACAGTCCGAAGCAAAGTCCAATTAGATAAAATATGGGAAACAATATGGCAAAATAGCACATGAAAAGCCTCCCAGAGTTATTAGTCACCAAAGGATGAAAAATGAAATATGGAATTCTAGCTGACATCTATTAAACTGTCTAAAATTAAAAAGAATGAATAGTAAGTATCAGCGAGGACCTGGAAAGCAGCTGGTGGGATGTAAAATGGTAGATACTTCTTCTGTGGAGAGCTAGGGGGTTTCTTAAGGACTACAGGGCCTGGAGAGATGGCTCAGCCACTGTGAGCATTTGCTGCTCTGGCAGAGGATCTGGGTTCTATTCCTAGTACCCACGTGACAATTCAGAATCATCTGTGACTCCAATTCTAGGTGATGTGATCCCCTCTTCTGGCCTCAGTGGGAAAAGCATGCACATGGTTGGTGCACAGATACACATGCAGGCAAAACACCCACACACAAAAAAACAAAAACCAAATACATCCAGAGTCCAAACCCATGTAAAGATGTGTGTTCACAGTCAATGTGTTTATGGTAATCAAAACCTGGAAACAAGCTCAATGTCCACCAAGAGGGGAAAGAAGGAAGGAATTGTGGCCTGTGACATGGCGGAACGCTGCACAGAAAGGAGAGGACCCACAGGTGCTAAGATGGATGAAGACACAACAAAGAATCGTGCTGACTGAGAAGAGACAGCCGAAACCAAACACAACACACTATGAAACCCACACACACTGTGTACGACGCTTCTGGGTACGTCTACAAAACACAGACTCACCAGCACAGCAAGGTGCTCACTGGTTCTTAGGGAGCAAAGGAAGTAAAAGAGGGCTTGTAACTTTTGGGATGGCAGGCAGGTCAGTGATTGTGACTGAATCACAGAATAGACACATTAAATCGTATACTTTAAACAGGAAGACAGTGGTTAGTCTAGTATACCTTAATAGAGCTGTTAAAAACGAATGCATTATGTGAATGCCAAGCTTTTGGGGGTAAGGACCTGATATCAGGTTTCCCTGGTGTGTGGCTAAAATTTACCTCCTTTCCCTCCCATTGGCCTAGACAGCTCTGGTGAGGTATGACATTACAGTACTCAGAACATCAAAAGGCTGCCTCTGTTGGCCAGGCAGCCCAGCCCTCCTGCTGGCCAGGCACAGGCCCTGCCAAGCGCTCCTGCTGGCCAGGAGGAGGCCCTCCGGGTGGCTTGGGTGCCTTGGGTGGCTTTGTGTGGCTCCTCTCCCAAGGAGCTGTCTTGAGACAGCCCATGCTGCACTTACCTCCTCTTCCTCATTCTCCGGCTGTCGGAACTTCAGCCTGAGGTTCTCCTCAAACTCCTCGTCTGTCCAGTAGAAGAGCACCTCCGCGCCCTCGGTGGCCACCAACACGCACTTCATCTTTCAGGAGAAGCAAGAGCAAAGGTCACACCTGTTAGTTCAGCCTGAGGAATGAGAAGACCCTCAGCCTGTTGGACATTCACTGAGCCCTTTGGGCATGCCAGCCACCACCGAGAGAGCCATTCTGAGGTCGTTTCGTTACACCCTGACGAAGCAGCAGCGACATGAGGGTCGGGGTGGAAAGGTGGGTGGGAAGAGGAGGTGTACAGAGCCCACAGCGGTTCAGTCCGCTATTCTCATTGTTTTCCACAGCCCTCAAAGTGGGTGCCGCCCACCTTTCCATCCCCGCCCCCACCCCAGAAGAGGAACATCATTTACCTTGGCAAGGCATACAGCAGAGCTTCCAAGGAGCTAGATTCTGACCAGTTCAGGGAAGAGCACAGCATCCTTGGTCCTGCAAAAGCTTAAGGCAGAGAGGGCATGAGAGCACGCAGGAGCTCTGGTCTCTACCGCTGCCTGTCCCTGAGAGTGGACCAGCTGGGGAAGGGCTGAAAAGTCACAGGCTCCCCCATTTTAGGGACCATGAGCTCGGGGAGCCCTCTGTGTGGAGCAAGCGTCGCCAACACTCTAGTTCCTACCTCCTCTGCTGCAGGGGAGGTCTTGTTCTATATACTCGGTGCCACTCAAACACGTGGCGTGGTCAGCAAAGCCACCCTGAGCAGCCCTGGGGAGCTTGCTGTGAGTGAGTGACCGGTTACCACACAGAAGGTGTCCTGGGAAGGTGCCACAAACTAACAAAAAAAAAGCATCAGGGTTTGCTTCCAGTTTGGGCTTTCCTAGGCCACATTCAACTCTGAGCCTCAAACTCGCCCTGGGAGACCAAGGAACAGATAGGGATCTGCACCTTCCTCCCAGGTATTCCCACCCGGTTACAGGGAGAGTCACCCAGACCCAGCCAGATGCACCCTCAGCACAGTAGGCTCAACTTAAGGACAAGAATGGTGCGTGGATGCTATTCTTATTTTCCAGCTTCAAATAACACGAGAAACAAACTCACTCCTGAATCCTCCCTCTTTTGATAAAAGGCAAGAAGTATGTCAAGTCAAAGAGGGTTCGATCCTCGGGGTTCGGCACCTTTTGCAGTGAAACTCTGAGCCTGGCTGAACCACCCTCGGGCTTGGCCTTGATGACAACTTCCTGGAAACACTGGCGTGCTTCTTGGTGGGGATCAGGTTTTACTGCTTCGGTGATTATCTTCAAAGGTCGCTAATCTCATGTTTTAAACTTTTGTTCTCCTTATAGCTTGCTCTAAAAAGGGGGAACTTGGAGGAGGGCCAACCTGAGAAAATCCCCTGTACCCGCTTTTTCCACCCGGACCACAGCTCTCTCATTATCCCCAGCAAACTGTCCCTGTGGCCTCTGTCCTGTCTACCACAGCCCAGTGAGAAGTGGGGGCGAGGGGTAGGGACTAGAGCCTGCGAAGCCCCGGCAGGAACAGCTAGCCTGGGGTGGAGTCTCGCCCCGCGCACTTAGCACCGCGTCACGGCGGGGCTCCGCCCACAGGCTGCTCACTTAGCATTCTTGCAATGTCACCCTCAAATCCTCACGTCCCCTCCCCTACTCCCCGAATTTCACGGAGACCCTGGGGACTAAGGCCTGGCTTGTGGCGCCCGCTCCGAAAGAGCGTGAGACTGAGGCCGTTCCCGGGGACCCCCGGGCCTCTCTAAGCTGGGAGGGCTGGGCGGCGGAGGTGCCCACCGAGGGGCGACCCAGGGTGGCGCTAAGACCACCCACGATGCCCACATACCAGATCCGCTGCTCTCAGCGTTCGGAGTGTAGCCAGCCCGCGGCTCGCTTCCGGGTGGGACCATGTGACCCAGCCACATGACCTGGGCCTTCAGTGTGGGTTCGAGCCCCGCCTCCGCCTGGCATTGCTCTGGCTTGACATTGCCCCTGCCCCGCAGGGCACTGCTCTTGCTGGTCACCGGTCTGGCAAGCTGTGGGTGCTGGGGTGTGTGTGGTCCCACGTTCCCCCTGGCATAAGGAGGGCTCCCACTGCCATTAGAGGCACCTGCTGTGTGCCGGTGACATTTCAGAGACCCTTCTGCTTGACTTAGCTAAAGCGACTCCCCACACACTTACAGAAGGGGCAACTGAGGCCCCAGAGAGAACAAACTTGCTGAAGAGGAGCCAAACAGAAGCAGAACCCAGGTTTCCTTGCACCTCCGCCGGGATCTTTCCAGCCTCTGGTTTTCTTGCTGAATTTGGTTGTGGGTGAAAGCTGCCCTTTTGTGGGTGTTTTCCCTTACCTGAGCAGGAGAGCCCAAGTGTCTCACGTGGGCGTGTGCTGTGGCTCCTTGATTTACAGGGGTTCCCAATCCGACTGAGGGTGTTTGTCTTGAACCTGTGATTGCAACCTATTTAGATTTTGTTTGTATTTGGAGAGGTCAAAAGAGTGAAGGAGCCAATGTAGTCTGCAGAAGGGTCTGGATGCCTACCTGAGTCCTCACTGGGTACCTTGGTGCTGTTGGGGAACTTTGCATTCAGCCCAGCAGGGAAGGAGATGCCGCTGAGATGCTGCAGAGGGAACATTAACACCCCCACCAGAAAGGCAGAAGCCAAGTTGAGAATGAGTGCCTCTGCCACTCCAGCGACCTAGGGTACAAGCCAACAGAGGATCGCTCCTGCCCCTTCACCACCCACCCTGCCCAGCCCAGCTCCTCTACACAGTGCAGCCACATGGTGGGCACCCTTCTCCTAGAGGACTGTCGTCTGCGCCTGCGAACGCTATCCTGCTGAGTTTGGTGACACGTTTTTCCTCTTGTTTCAAATAGTTTGTGAACTTGAATAACTATTACCCATTAAAAATGTATAACCATTCTAGTAGATGTTATACAACCTGGTGATAGTGACTTTCATTTCACCAATGACTGTGGAATGGTGCTTACTGTGTTTTCTGTTTTTATCCATTTAAATTGTCTTTACTAAGGATTGTAATAAAATAATTCTTTGTTTTAGATGTGTTTTAAATATACACATATATTTAAAATTCCCATTATGTGGTCTGTCTTTTTACTTTTTTTTATATGTGAGTGTGCATGTGTGCGTGTGGATGCTCAGCGTCATCCTTAGGAATGCCATCCATCTCTTTGAGGCAGGGTCTCTCACTGTGTGGAGCTTACCAATCAAGCCAGACTGCCTGGCTAGCAAGCCCCAGAAATCCACTCTCCTGAATCCAGCACTGGGATTACAAACACAGGCCACCTCATCTGGATTTTAATGTGGGTTTGGGGGATTTAACTCAGGTTCCTATGCTTGCAAAGTAAGCATTTTACCAATTGAGATATTCCCCCTGGCCTCATCACTTTCTTAATGGTGTCATTTGGAAGCATCAGGGTTTTCAGTTCTGATGTAATTCAGTCTAATCTATTTTGATGGACCAGGAGAATGTTTGATCATCATACATTCCAATTTGTGTGTGTAGAGGTGTGTGTGTGTGTGTGTGTGTGTGTGTGTGTGTGTGTGTGTGTGGTGTGTAAGGGTTGCCCATGAGTGCATGTGCAGAGGCCAGAAGAGAACGCGGTTTGTCCTGCTCTGTCCTTTGCACCTTATTCTCCTGAGATAAGATCTCTTCCTAAACATGAATTTGTTGCTTTTTGGTCAGGCTGGCTGCCAGCAAACTCCAGAGCACTTCCTGTCTCTGCCCCCCCCCCCCCCTGCATGTGGCCACTCCTGGCTGGAGAACCTTCATGCTTGTGTGAGCACCTAACCCAAAGTCATCATTTTATGGATGAGGACTCTGAGGACCAGAGTCTGAATCAGTCGGGCAGAGCCGCCATGGTCTCTGGGTGTGGACCTGGCCTCTGGTTCTCCAGTGACCCATTTGCCCACCTTGAGGATTGTTGCATAGCTCCTTCTTCTGAATTGAAATGCTCTCTTTTGGTGGGAGGAGAGAGTAAGAGGCTCATGCTCACAAAACTTAAAAGCTTTAGGAAACTCAGTAGATGATAGGATTCCCGCAGTCCCTCCCCAAAGTTATAAAAGCTAGGGTGAGGAGACTCAGGGATCGCTTCCTGCTAGGGAGGCTGCCTTCATGGCTTGTCATCTAGCCAGGTTGTACTTTCTGGGATGCACTTGTCCCTGAGTAGTCTATGCTCCCAAAGTCACCCTAGTCAATTCGTTGGCTCATTAAGCTGGACTTTGAGGGAATCATTTCTTTGATCTGTTGTTGATGCCTTGTCTTCGCTGAATCGATCTTGTTCACATCTTTCCAGAAAAAAGTCACACAACATTGCTTGGGTTTTAAAATTATGTTTTAGATATGTCCAGTAGAGGGCACAGCATCCAGTACTGATGCTCACTACTGGGCAGGCATGCCACAATGCCGATTGTTCTCTGATAATAACTGTGAACTAGGACTGTCAGGACTCCAGGAGTGGGGGGTGGAGAAGAAAGCTCATCTAAGTCACTGTGGACAGTGTAACAGCTTCTGTAGATTTTGATATCACCATACAAGCAGTGACAGTCACCTGACAGCAAACCAGTGGTGGGGGGCTCACGCCATCGATGCATTCTCCCGTTTCCCAACAACCCTTCAGCATTTTGTGCGGGTGTCGGAAAGTGGTGTAGACAAGGACTTTATTTCCTAGACCCTAGTCCTAGATGGGTCAGTGGAACTGAGTGGAAGGGATTTGACTGCTAGTTCCAGGTCCGTCCCCTGACTAGTCTCACTACACGCTTCCTCTCCTGGTTTGTCAACAACTCATCGCTACCCAGAGGAGCCTTGAAGGAAAGTGCCTAAGAGGTCAGTGGGTCCACATCAGTCTAGATGCCAGTGACTGGAAGAAACACAGCCACGCCCCCTTTCACATCACCACCAACTGAGCTTTAGGTGAGCTTTGAACAAGAACTAAACCTTGATCATGCTAGCCATCAAGATTATGGAGTTTCCATATTATTATAATTAATCACATCTTCCTTAACTGATACATCAATGACATCTGATTTGAATTATGAAATACAATTTCTCCTTCTAATGGCTGAGGCAAAGCTTGTTGGGGGGCAGGAGGACACCACCATGAAATCCAAGGCTCCAGTGTGTGCTAGTGCTCACGCAGTCAGACTCAGGTTCCAGGCAGGTGTGGTGTGGAAAACTGATGCCTCCCTCTCCCCCACAAAACACCCTGACAACAGAAAGTTAAAGTAGTCGTATTTTATTTCTTACAGAACATTACCTCAAAATAAAAGCTACCTCATGGACTCAAACTCCCTGCCATCACCAGGTTTGCATAAACCACCCTGTAATGTGTGTTCTGGATGGGAAAATTAACACCTGTTAGAATCCCTGCACAGAGACAGCCTTCCCTGGGAGGTGCTCCTGTGCTCATTTTGGTAGCTTCCAGATGGATAAAATGAAGGTTTCTTTCTATTTCTTCCCTAAGTATAATTTATTACGTAACATTTACAGCTTGAAAAAGAACCCTAGGATGTTTTCCTGAATAATAATTAGAAGAGTAATGTTCCTGGCGTGGGTTGTCAGAGGGCACCTTTTCCACTGCTAGCTCACAGGACCACGAGGGGCGGGGGGGGGGGGGGGGGGGGGGATTAATGAGCCAGTCAAACGGAAACTTCTCAGCTCCTCCCAAATGCTCTCAGGAGCTTCTCTGGTGTTTAGAACAAAGTGGTGACAATGTGGTTGGTTTATTCTTACGTTTCAGAGTGTGATTTGCAAGTGTTTGCATGTACTATCCCCCCTAGGCTGTTGATACACCACTTACTGTTCAGTGTGGGCAGATGCAGACTTCCCAACCTGAGTGATGGAGGGAGGGAGACAGGGCCGTGGAAGTGCTGGCTGGCTCTGCTACTTACCTCCTAGGATGCAGAAATGCCAAGCATCCTCACCTAAGGCTGGGTCAGTGTGGTGGGAATAGTCCTTAGACTGTCCTACAGAGAAACCCAGAGAAGCAGAGCAGGGAGGCCACTGTGGGCCACAGGGAGGCCACTGTGGGCCACAGGGAAGCCACTGTGGGCTATGGTGAGCCTGGACTGCAGAGACGAGTCACAGCCCTCCTCACTACAACAGAGCTGCCCCTTGACTGCTTCAAACCTGAGGTCATCTGCTGTCCAGGCAGGCAAGTGAGTTCTCTGTGGGAGGAGCACAGGGTGCTGAGAAACCTAGTGGTGGGCAACACCAGTTGAGGCCAGGGTGGCTGTTGTCATGTTAATGGCAAGGTGTCAGCTGAGCAGGCTTTGAAGTTCAGCAGACCTGGGTCTAAGCCTGCTCTGTTCCGTTTATCTGGATGGGTGTGCAGGTTCATCCTCTATCCTCCTGGTGACAACAGAGTCTAAATACTGAAGAAGAGGTATCCCAGAAGGAAGGGCAGTTCCTTCACTATACGAGGGTAACTCACCTCAACATTGCTTCTGTTTGGAATACTACCTTTCCAACGGATAGAGCCTAAGGAAAGGGCACGAAGAATCCTAAAATTGAACTTTTCACTCTGTCTCGGAACAGCAGATTTCCTGGGCAGGATCCCTCTGGGGGACAGAGTGGCTCTACCCTCTTCACCGTCACAGAGACACATCACTATTACTTTGGCTTGCTTTGTTTGGACCTCGAAACATTCAAGTCCTCCTGTGTTCCAGTGTTTTGACCTTCATTGGAATCTGCCTGCTTTGCCTTTACATCTCCAGAGGTCAAGCGCTGGGCTTTTGTTTTCAGAAAGGAAGCCACTCTCCATGGCTTGCAAGGCACAGCCTGTAGCCTGAATCTCTGTGTGCATACAGGACACCTGAGTGCAGGTTGTGGTCTGATCCAGAATATGCTGGATGTAGACGCTCAGTAGTTAACATCCCTAGTACCCCTGCGTGAGAGTACAGGGCTTCGAGTCCACCCTTCTTGGAGCTAAGTGTCCAAGAAAGGCAAGACTGCAGGAGGAATCCTGGTTTGGGGGGGGGGGGCCTCAAGTCTTCAGCCTCACGGTTGCTTGAGTCTGATATTTCCAAGCCTTTCTTAGCTAGAGATAATACTAATATCCCACAGTGGCAGCTTTTTGCAGGGCATTAGAAAAATGGGGTCTTTCTCTCCCAATAACAATGAGAATTTATTCTGAGGCTTTGTGATAAGAAATGAGAAAGAAAATCATTCCTAGAGGCAAGAGGAGCAGAAAACCATCTCAACAAAAGGCACAGACTTCTCATTATGCGTGATTACTCCTTCAATACGCATTTCCCCAAGCCCATTCTTTGGTTTAAAAAGAAGGGCTCTTAAGTCTCTCATGATCTCTGCTGTGTCTTGCTTGATGAAGGAAAACTGACCCAAAGAAGCTGGTGGAGAATTGGGTTATTTTCTTCTCCGCTGCCTCAGCCTGCTGCACTCTTGCTGTGGGTGGTGATGCTGTATTTACCAGAGACTGTCTTTGGGGGGTGAATGTGAAAGGCAGGGTCCCTGTAAAGAGCAACATCACTGCTTTAGTAACTGTCCCCCCCACCCCTCCCCAGGGCATCAAGACAGATGCCCTGAGTTAAAACTGCTGTGGAGTGTGATGTTCCAGTGAATGACGCAAATACTCCTTCCGCGAGGTAGCTGTGAAGACAGAACGGCAAGGCTCTGGAGACAAATTCCAGGGCTTCCCTCGCCCCCTTATTAGCCCGAAAACAAACAAAACTTCAACCTCTTGGGTGCAGCTTTTAATTCACAGAGAAAGACAAAAGCAGCGAAAATGACCTACATTCTGCAAGGCTTAGTGAAGAGTCAGCACCTATTTACAGAAAATGTGTTTGCACTGGGCTCTGGATGTCTTGGCTATCCTGGGCAAGCAGAGTCTACCAGATGAGGGGTGAGTCTGTGACATGAAAAGCCACTGAGCTTGGTGACTAAGTAGGCCGGTTCTGGATTATTCCTCAAGCAAACTCATTGCCTTGGGTGATGCTGGGCAGTGTAAGGACTCTCCCATGCCTCACAGATGCATGGCGATGACAAGAGCAGCTTTGTCATGGGGGTTCTAGATATGAAAGCAAACTAGCCCAGGGCCTGGCACTAGGAGGCTCTGGTTACCCTGCAGTTATCAGGGGCCCTGCAGTTGCCCCCAGACAGGTACTTAGAAGGGATTTTGATATGTGTTCGAGGAAAACCCATCCGTTTGTTTTCTTTCCCTTTCCCACATCTCTCTTCTTTTCCTTCCTTCCTACCTCCAATATCAACACTTCTCTCTGTCTGGAGCTTCCACGGAAGGTGCCTGGGAAGGGAAGCTCCCTGGGAGCCTTGCTGGGTAAGCAGTCTCACGGGCCCCCATCTCCAGATCTTCCAAGCTGACCACTGATAGGTCTAGACTGTCCTGAGTCTTCTGTTCTTGCTTGCCCTGATATGACTGCTGTGTGATGCCTCTCCTATACTGAAAATAAGCACGTCACAATCTGATCCCACGGTCTCCCTTGTACAGACTAAGATGGGCCCCCCACCCCTGAAATTCCCAGTTCTCCTCGATGAAAAGCGCTGGGGACCTTGTTTGTCTGACCTTCCTCTCACCTCTCACTTTGCAAACTGGACCACATCCTTATTCTTCAGACATCTTAGGTGTGCCCCTGCTGCCTCCCTCACGACTGGCCTCAGCTTCTCCCTCAGGCCCGTCTGTTCACATCAAAACTGTGTCACTGACTTACGGGCACCCAGGAGAGTGTCAAGGACCCCCTTCCTCTTAAAAGCAGCATCACCCTTGGCATTTATCCTGAGGTCAGTCATGTCCACAGAGTCTCTGCCGCTGCAGCTTGTTTCCAAAGACTCCCAAACCCCATAGCTCATTTAAAGTCCTGGCCATAGACGTTAAGTCAGTCCTCCTGCCTGTCCAACTCAGAAAGCTTCCACCTATCATTTTCAGTTTTGCTATCAGACCAATTCCCCGTTCTTCTTCAACGGAGCCAACTGAAAACTTTGTACCATACTAAAGTACACCCACCTGGGATGTGACCAGATGGGATTTCTCCCTAGTAAATGCCACTAAGACTCAGCTATGTGGGAAGAAGCAGAAAGGTTTGGCTATGTTTATGATGACTGTGATTCACACTGTCTTCTTCTAAGGGTTTTGGTCAATCAAATAACTAAGGGCTTATTGTTTTGAGTCTTTGAAATCCTTTCAGTTTGAGGGCAAGGTCTAAATTGCTTTACTAGATTGGTCTGTGTGTGTGTGTGTGTGTGTGTGTGTGTGTGTGTGTGTGTGTGAGCATGCATGTATGTGCTGGATGTTGCCATGTGCTTTTTCTTTGTACTACAATTCTCTCCCTCCTGGCAACATGAAGAATGATGATTTCTTTTTGTGGAGACTAATACATTGCTCTCCACTCAATGAATATTGTTACCTGACTCCCACTCCAGGCCTGAGGGAATCTAGAGTCACAGAGGAATAGAACCTTACAGACTGCGGAATATGACTGTAATTCTACTTGTGAAGCACCCGCTTCCCAGAGGAATAGCCAGTGATGGATGCCACTGTCAGAAACCCAGATGCACACACTCATACATCAGCCAGGAAATTATATAAACAGCTCACCCAGCAGGCCAGAGCTGACTCACCCATTTGCTCCCCATGGGAAGAGAGGTGTCAGGAAACCCAAGGCAGCAGCAGGAAGCAGACAAAGGAGGAGTTAGAGGAGGATTGGATTTGCAGCCCTCCCTTGCTCTTTCCTTCATCATCCTCTGCTGAGGGCAGCAGCAGCAGTAGGCTAGGGCTTGGGGTTTGCAGTTACATTGCTGTGTGATCAAGACTACAGGCAGCTGTTTGCAAACACTGCTCTGAAAGCATGCTGCCAGCCTGGTTGTGAGGTGTGCATCAACAGACACACACCTTTATCTCTGCATAGGAATAAAGGGTGTCTACATTTTTCTTAGGGATGGGTGTCACCTACCTAGGCTAAGCTCGTACTATGACTTTTCGTCTCTTTGGAGTGAAAGTCTATGTTGACTCCAGCAGGATGGGAGCAGAGGCTGAGGAATAAGGGCGCTACAAGAGTGGAGAGTAGAAGGCAGTCCAGCAAGCCCACCAGGAGCTCACAAGCAGAGGGTTGTTTATCGGTAACGGCAGGCCAAAGCATTGACATTCTTGACCACATAAAAGCCCATGGTAACTGGAGGGATGACCAATGTCCGGCCAGCTCGCAGGGGACGGGGCTTCAGTTCTGGAAGGGTCCCGTCGTCCACCATCATTAAGGGCTGGCCATTGAGCTGCACTGACCTAGAGCAGGGGAAATAGAGGACCCATTATCACATACTTGCATCTTGCATTAATTTCTTTGACAGGCAAGAAAATTGGCGTGCAATTTGTTTAGAGTTATTCTGAAAGTGACAAAGACAAGCTAACAGTTCCAATGTTTCACATGTAGGAGGGAGTTTCACATTTAATACTTAATAGATGTTTCCACTGTCGCAACACAACAAAGTAGGTGATCATGTGGGCATCTGTGACCATAACTCACCTCCCCTGCTTGTGTGTATTCTTTCTGTGTAACTGGACATTTGCAGCTCATAGAAAGGGGACCACATCCATAGCAAACTTATTAAAGACAAATGGTGCGTCTAGGCTGAACAGGAGGGAAATAGCAACCAACCATCACTGACTTAAGCTACAGAATCTCAACAGCTTCCCATCCATTCCTGACACTTGTGTTCTAGGTAGAAGTTCAGGTTTATGGGTCAGTAGAAAAATCCAAATCAGAATCTAGAAATAAGGTTGCAAGTCACTTTCAGACAATCAATCAGTTTTGCACAGTGATAACTGTCTTTGGTCCTTGTTCAACCTTCACAGTGACAACACTGCATGATGTCATGTGAACATGAGACCAAAACACTATCAAGTGATATAGAGACCTCTGTTTGCTGTTCCTTCTGCATTACAAATGACCAACAAGTTTAGAGAGAGAAAATCAGACCCATGCCTGATAGAGCAGTGGATTCCCAGAGACAAATATGCTGTAAATTGCTTCCAGTGAGGAGTGGGGCAGAGAGAGCTCCAGGCTGGTCCCACATGGGTAGACTTGGGTTGAGGAGCTCCATCAGACCTGAGGGAACAGCCCACCCTCTTGCTGGAATGACTGAGGAGTGAATGAGCAAGCAGGAACTGTCTCTGGATGGTGTGGGGGTGGGCGATGGACCCGGAGGTCAGTACTGACTTCATCAAATATATTAAGAAGCTTTTGATTCCAGATGTCAGGATGCCTTTACTTCCTCACTGTGAAGACAGTTTACTCTTACTGGAGCAGCAAGCCAGGTAAAGCAGGGGGAGGATCCAGATGTAAAAGAAGTCTATCTTTGTAGTCTATTTTCTTATTTCAGGTGGTGTATCCAACAACCAGCTGTCCAATAACATAAATTAACTTTCTAAAGCATGTGCGAATGTACATTACCTCTCTGCTTGCAAACCTCAGTGCTCTCCCTTATATGTAGAATTAGGTGCAAGGAATTAGGTAACACATTTTAGATTCAGATGCTGCTAGAGCACCGAGGCCTTTGGGTTCTGGGAAGCGCAGAACAAAGTCTGGTAAGCAAATGCTCAATCATCTGTACTAAGGAGTAGCTGTTCTGGATCAGTCGCTCCAGAGTTTCCTCATCGTGGGTTGTAGGGAGAACCGGGGAGCATGGACAGGACCCTGGACTGAAATGTCTACTTTTAGCAGCGGGGTCACTAACTCAGGAGCCGACTGACAAATCCTTCACCTGCACTGCCCTGCAGCCTCTGCTCCTGTAAGAATGCCCCTGGCTGTAGTGTGAAGGAGTTGAACTAACAAGCAGGAAGAGCCTTGGAGGCATACAGAGCCAGGCAAGCAGGAGGCGCTTGGCTGTTACTCTCCTCAGGTCACTGTGGACTGTAGCTCTGCTCCTGGCCATTCTTGGCTTCTCTGTGGAACCGACTTTCTCAAGCCCCCTTCTGCAGAGCCTTCTCCCCGTGCCTCCGCTGCTTCCCCTCTCTCCGGGTCTCTTCCAGCTGGATGCTGTTTCTCGTTGATGGGGACCATGCCTCGTTTACCTGCCACTCAGACGCAGAGCCCTGTGCTTTGGTCCTGGACTCTTCTTAGGCCGTGTGCTCCTTTTAGGGTGCACTACCCACACCCATGACTTTGATTACTGTTCACAGGTCTTCACTTCCCCAGGCCCTTCTTCTGGACTTGTATGTCTACTTAGCAGCCTGCAGAAGCCTCCAAGTCACATGGCCCAATTCAAGCTCTGTATCTGCTTTTAAAAGCTCCTGTGACAGCACTGCCACTTACCCAGTCACATGAGCTAGAAAGCTGGGGTCCCCTGAGACTTCTTCCCTATCCCCCCACAGTCAGGGTCAAACCCATCCTGTCTTTAATGTTTGCTAGTCTGCTGAGTTTTGCCCTCATCCCTAACCTGCCTCCTAGCCCGTCTTTGTGCCACCTGTTCACAGATGATCTGTTGTCACCGCTCGCCTGGCACCTTCCATCTCTCCCCTCTGGTGCTGACTCCAGCTACCTCTCCAGTCTCAGTCCTGTGGTCTCCAGGCTTCAGTCCAGCTGTGGCCCACAGGGGCATGTGGGGGTGGGGTGAGCAGTTAATGTAAGGGCTTAGAATTTAAAAAATGCCTTGTACATAGATGCCTTGTACATAGGCTTAGAATTTAAAAAATGCCTTGTACATAGATGGAATAAATTTCTTCAAAGGGAAATATTAAACAGATATATACAGTGGGATTAAAATATTCAAGGGATGTGGTTGGGATTAATAAGACACAGGTTCACTTAAAACTGTTGTAAAATTATTATTATTTTGTGAGGAAAGACATTTTTACCATTTTAAAAGATAATTAAATCTTTAAACTTTTTATTTATGTGACTATGTATCTATATCTATGCTATATATGTGGGGGCTGCTCACAGAGGCTACAAGGGTCAGTGGAGCTGGACTTCCATCTGGCTGTGGGCTGCCGGATTTGGGTGCTAGGAACCAAACGTGGTCCTCTGGAAGAGCAGCAAACACCATTAAATGGTGAGTCATCTCTCCATCCCGAGAAAGAGACCTTATGACAAAGACTGGTGCGTGAAGGTAAGGCGTTTGTTTGCACTTCAAAGGGCCGCTCTACTTGAAGAAGCTGGGCACCTTCACCCTGGCTTGTGCAAATGAAGTGGTTTGCAGTTTTGTTTATGGGTTCTTTGGAGAGATGATGCCTTCCCATGGTAGGCAGCCGCCAGTTCTGCACTCCCAGCTGAGCTGCAGGAGTCCTGGAGGTCCGCTTTGGTGTTAGTGGCTCTGGACAACCTTCTCTAAGCCTTGGGCTGGGCTTTCTCAGCATTTGCCCTCTTCTCTGGGGTGTAGGGAATTGATGCTTTGTCCTTCACTGGGCTGTGAAAACACAGTGCACAAAGCCATGAGGCAGGGAATAAACGTTTTTGGAATAAGTGAATGGTCTTTGAGACTCTTTGCCTAATTCCTAGGCTTCCTCCATTAGTTTCTCAGCTCTAGAGGGACTCCCTGGAGGTTTGTGGAGTGTCTCTACAGATTCTATTAACTAGAGATTACTTTGCCCCTCAGTGGAGATGTTAGATAAGATCTGAATTACCGCTGATTCTCAGTCACTCCCCAGACACCTTATTCCCACCTGACAGGAGGCCATTGATCATTGCTAGAGTTTTTCATCAAAAAAAAAAAAAAAAAAGAAAAAGAAAAGAAAAAAAATCTATAGCTAGGTTGCCATGAGTTAATTCTGAGAGTAAGGCTGTGCGAGACCTTGAGTCCTCACATGTCCTTATCTTGAAATCCTTTCATTTAAAGAGGGACAATGTGCTTTATCACCATTTCTGTCCTCCTCTTTCTGCTTGTGTTCATCATTTAATATTTGTCTCCCGGTGAAATCATGTCATGCTAACTATAACAGTGTCTTTCAGCTATACACACCTGTATAGTTTGCAATCACATCAGTGGCAGAAGAAAAGATCACAGACGGTGGACCATTTTTGTGTAAAAGGCAGGGTGCTCAGGTTTGCTTTGCCTGGACCGTTCAGTCCAGGCGTTCAGCAGCCTCTGGCTCCATGTGAGCAAACCAGAGTTTAGAGGGTTAAAACTTATCTGAGTCACCCAGCCAGGAAAAGGCAGGCCCGATGTTTGCAGAGATTCCCTTAACTGTTGTCTTCCCTGGCCTTCTGGACACACAGTTGCTAAAGGGTCCTGTGCGACAGCAAAGCTTTGTTATGCTTGTAACTTCACCACTGAGACAAGCTCAGAGGGGTCCAGTGGCCTAGGCAGGTAACTAACAGGCAGTTAGGCTGACTTCTGGCCTCTTGGCCACCTCTTTCTATTACATGCTGTGTGGCTCAGTTTCAGGAGGCACTCACCACAGTCACATTTCTTTCTTCAAAAGCCTTTCTTATCACCGCGTTTTCATCATCTCCGAGGGCTTCCTTACTGGATCGTGATTTTCCAAGCAAACGCTAAGTGACCCAGCCAAGGCTGAACTATTTCTCTTAATTTCCCTACTTCCCAGAATTGCTGAGGGTGTCTAAACTACCCAAATATTGGGACAACTGCATTTTATCGCCTTTTGTTTTTATAAAGATTGAGTTACTTTCCAATTTCTACACTTGTTTTCTCATTTTTGCGTGTTAATTGAAATGGGATTCGATGTGTCAATTTGGAGTCAAGCCCTCTGCCCTGGCAGCTCTCCATGGGAGCCTCTTGGCCTGGTCACTCCCCTCTGGTCTTTATGTCTTATTATGGTTCTTAGGAGTCATGGGTATTTAAATGGGGCCCAACTTTCCTCAGGTCCCAGAATAGAAAGTTTAATGAAGGCAGTTTGTGTTCTGTCTTTGTGTGTGTGTGTGTGTGTGTGTGTGTGTGTGTGTGTGTGTGTGTGTGTGTGTGTGTGTGTGTTCAGGCTTGAGAGCTGGTGTCTGATTTTGACCAAACTTTTGGGGGGCCTTCAAGGGGAGATAAAGAGATCCCAGCTCTGCCTCAGTCACTTAGGATGAGTTATTTGCCTTCTCTGAGTTTAGGTTTCTCCAGAGAATGAGTGACAGGCAGATCAGATGAACCCCAGGTCTCCTTTGTCTTGGCTATTTGTCAGCCAGGCCGCCCATACCTAACAGCTAGCCTAAGGCAAAGTTCAATGCCTGATTTAGAATGATCCTGAACAAACAGAAATCGGAGCATGACGTTCCCCTGTCCAAATGTTCGATGGCTCTTAGAACAACATTGGAAGTTCCCATAAGCTGGCCTTTTATCAAC